GAGAGAGAGAGAGAGAGAGAGAGGGCGTCAAGGTTTCGGGTGCTGGCTAGCCCCAGTCGAGCTGAGTTCCGATATTGGCTCTTGCAGCCAATGCAGTTTCTCGTTTGCTGTGGCGTGTATTTCAGCCCTGTTCAGCTTGGGCGCATTTTTCCTCTGGCGCTTCTCGATTGGGCGCGAGCCAAATGTCCAACCGCCTTGTCGCTGGTGGTGGCACCAAGCTCTGTGGCGGTGAGTTGGGGGATGCCCAGCAGTTGAGCATCGTCCGTACAATATCAAGACTGCCAACGGCGAAGGGGGAAGCTTGTTCATCTTTTGCTCCCGGCCGAGACCAATATCCACGGTCGCAGCAGCGTGCATGAGGAAGCGGAAGGCGGGATTCCTTCTTCTTCGTGTACTCTGTATAGAAGCGGAATTATGGTTGACCGGGCAGAGAGACGCAGGAAGGCTACCCAATGAGGAGGCTACGATCGAGCTGCATGCATGTAGTTAACGGTGGACGGCGTTGTGGCTTGTATGTTGGGAGCCTTGCAGCGGCTGTCCCGACGAGGTGAGGCCGGAGGAGGGGGTTCGTCGAGCGACGCTCCATGCCGGGCGTAACAATGTTCCGCCGGTTCCATGCCGGACGTAACAATGTTCCACCAGTGCCTTTGTTGCCCAGACTTGATCCGCAGCGTTCGCTTTGGGGTCTTTTCTCTTTTATCGCCTCTGAGCGAATAATAATAAAGTTGACTAGGGCAGGTTGTGAGGAACCGGATGAGCTTATTTCTCCACAAGATTGGGCCTATATTGTGGAATTTTCGGACACTGCCAGCTGAGTCGAAAAATGGATGGCGTGAGCAAAGCGCATGAATGTGTTTATGCGATTTATGATTTTAAGATGCGCCATTCAGCTGGTGTTGTTCCCTGAGAGGGGTCGTGCGGGCTATTGTGGCACAGTGATGAGGAGAGAGGGAAGCAAAGCTATCAATCTTGCAGCGATGGGGAAAAAAAGAAAAGAGGAATGAAGGGTGACGAAATTGAGCTCAAGACGGAACAGGAAACAAACAGGCAGACGGATGAGAAAACAAGATGCAAGTTGCATACTGCGTACTGCAATGCACTACAGACGCCTCTTGTAACTACAGGCCAGCCAGTTGCCAGCCAGCCAGCCTACCTACCTACCTAGGTACTAAGTTACTGGCGGTTGAAAGCCGTGGCTGCATCTCTGGTGGTGCTGCATACGGCGGGTCCGAAGGAGGGCTATTCATTGCCTAATTATTAGTGCTGACTTGAAACTGCCCGTCCGTAAATTTTGCCAAGTAGATGAGTAGTTACCTAACTAGCCATAGGATCGATATTGGAAAGGGCATCAAGGAGAGGCCGTCATGCTGTGAGCCTGTGACGCAATGCGCGCGCGATTGCCTGCCTGTTGCGGAAGTAGGCCGCGGGTGGCTGGCGATGGGGAGGGGAAGCACAGCGCGGTACTTGGAGTGACACGGGCATGACACGGCAGACAAGGCAAGGACAATGGATGCCAAATATACAAATTACAGAGTAAAGAAAGAGGATATCGAGGCAACTGGAAAAGGGCGAAATCGCTCGGTACCTTGGTAGCTAGCCGCCAACATTTCCGTATTCGTCACAGGACTGAGACATGGCTGGTTGCAGCTTGTGGCTGATGGTGGCTGGTGAGTTTGAATGCTGATATCGAGGGCATTCACAGTGGGTTGAGGGTTGATGCCACTGTAACTACGGACTACGGAGTAGGAACCGCCCAGACAAGCAGACATTTCAGCAGGACACGTCAAAGTTGCTCTGCAGATGGTCAGTTGCACAGACATTTCTGTCCTTCTTCTTTTCTTCTGTATTATTTATTCTACCGCGCCCACAACTGTACCTGTACATCATCATGTAGACCTCCACTTCAGTCTAGCATAAACCACCAACGCGCCACAGGCTCCCAGCTTCCAACTGCCACAAACGCCGAGCCCGCCGCAGAATCAAGCCTGTAATCGCAGCCAATCATGCCTGCTCCCCCCCGCTCAAACGTAGCTGAGCACGCCTCTGCACCCTTGAACCTCTTTGGGCAACTTTTTGGGGCCTCGTTTCTGCTAGTTCTTTGCAATTTGGATCCGGTTCATTGTCGCGCCCCTCTCTGTTCGTGGCTTTGCATTTCAATTATTGTATGTCGTGGGCGCGCGGGACTGCGGCGGGTGTTCAGGATGTAGTGATGAAAAAGCAATGCCGGTTCCGGGCTTGTTTGCGCATCACAGAAAACCGTGGATGAAAAATGGGCGAAAAAGAAAAGAAAAGACGTACAGGTGCAAAAATCAACAAATCATCCAATCATCCTCAGTCACTGCACTGCTCCTCTTATTATTAAGTAGCCATTGGGTACCTACAGCCTGGTACAGCGCAGTCGGCCCTGTTGATGTCACCGCAACAGGCGACCGCTGGACCTGGTCTAACAGGCTAGTACCTTAGTACTAATGTACCTCCTCTAATGTACCAGGTAGTAGTGCTCGCCCCCAGCGTCCATCCAGCATCCGGCCAGTAACCTGCCTCTACCTGGTATTAATATCCAGCCAAGGCTCTTTTTCATCGACTTATTACAGCCATTCAATCCAATCCCATTCTCCTTCTCCTCTCTCTCCCTCTCTCTCTCTCCAAGTAACCCCCATGTAACCTACCTCCCCCCACTACTCGGTTTTCCCGTCCTCGGCGGCCAAAGAAAAACGTGCACTCTTGTCCTCCACCGGGAAGGCTCCCTGCCCCAATTCTGCCTTGGTTTTAGCCCGACACAGTAGCGCTGCCCCCCAAACTCAAAAAAACATCACACCCTCCACCCGACTCGCTCCTCTTCCCTCCTTCTCCTGCCTGCTCCGCGCTGGGACAAAGGAGGGTTGAAGAAGAAGAAAAACTCTAAAGCAAAAAGAGGGCAGGCGATAACCAGCCTCAAACAACCCTTAGCGGCAACCATCTTTGCCTGAGCCGCCGCCGGACCCTTCAGATCAGCATGATGGAGGCTCCGACACGTTCTGCGGCAATGGATCCTTCATATGGCCACTCTCGCACACGAACGACCTCCTCCTCCGTCTTTCCCTCGCAGCACCCGCAACACCAACAATACCACCACCAGCAATACCAACATCACCAGCACTCGCCGCCGCCGCCGCCGCAGCCGCAGCAGCAGCAACAGTACAGCCCGCATCACCACCAAGAACAACATCCTCACCAACATCAACAGCAGCTGCACCAAAACCACGGCCACCAGCACCAAAACCACCCCATGCATCCGGCCCAACAGCACCACCACCAGCAGCCGTCGCCGCAATCGGCCTCCAACCCCCAGCTATGGCGCCGGTCGCCGTCCATCGGGGCCTTTAGCAACGCCTCGAGCTTCCAGCAACAACCCCCGGCCGCCTACCGCACCTCGACCAGCGACCTCCGCCGTTCGACCTCGAGCCGCTCCGTCACCACACAGGGCGGCGGCAGCAGCTACGTCGCCCTCCTCCGCAAGCAAAAAGCAACGGTCTGGTGCGAGCGCGCCCAGTACGAGGATCCCCGTCTCGTCGCTCAGCAGCGTGCCGCCAAGGTGCGTGCCAACCTCGAGGTTGTCAGCGGCAACACCGCGGGACGCACCCAGACGGGCCTCGCCTCCGCCAAGGTCGCCGGCAAGATTCGGCACGGCAGCAAGGCCCAAGTCGTTGGCTATGCACCCGGCGAGACGCACGTTGGTGTCGGCGGCGTTCCGCTTCGCCTCAGTGCTAGAGAGATTGACGGCGACGGGAGCGACGACGACGATAATGCCGGCCCTATGATGGCCACCCGCAAGGACCAGCAGCACCAGCACCACCGCCGCGCCGGCAGCAGCGGACGCAGCAGCACCGGTTCCGGACGCCAGGCACATCACCGCACCTCGGGAAGCGGCACCCCCGCGCGCAACCCCAGCCTTGTCGCCGGCACCCCTGAGCGCACCGAGAGCCTCGCCAGCAGACCCCAGCAACACAAGCAATCCGTCGACGAATCGGCCGGCCCGACAGACGACGCGGCAAGCGGACGCGCTCAGAGCTCCCGCAGCGGTAATAGTGAGCGTCGCGATGACGTCCTCGAGCTGGGTCAAGGCCCCAAGCTGGCACACAACTCGAAGCTGAATTCGGCTCTCACTAGAGAAAAGAGCGTCAAGAGTCCCGAGGAACTTAAGCGTCGCGGAAGTGTTGACGAGCGAACATCCACCCTGACATCCGGCCGCCTCTTCATTGCCAACCCTGATTAATTGGTGAATCACGTTTGCCACGCGCTACAAGCAAGTGTCCAGCTTGCTTTTATTTCTTCTCTTGTTTTATACTCCGACGTCTTTCGTTCATAATATCAGCGCCACAAAAGCCACTGTCAGTCGTTTTACGCATCCAATGGAAAAGGGAGGTGCGGTCTGTTGCATAAGGACATGGGATGGCGTTTTGTTTTGCTTCTTTTACGGGGTTCGCATGACATCAGTTCTTGGTCTTTTCTTGTACTTGCTTTGCATTGGAATTGGAAAGCACAGAGATGCTTCTCTCCTTTACAGAAAGAGACAGCTCGCTGCTTTGATTTCTATTATGGCTCTTATTTGCTTTTGCTTCCTTACAAACCAATCCGCGCTAGGAGCCAAATCAGGGACAAGGTCCTGCAGCTAATGCGGAGGGAGTGTCTTAAAGGAACTGCCGAATTGGCCAAGGGAGGGCTTCAAGGAATCGGCGAATTGATTATTCTGAATTCCAACAATCCAAAACTGTCCTGTGTTGTGTGTCGCTCTACTATTACTGTGGTGAGAGCTAGGCGGTGCCCGCAAGCTAGCTCCTCTCGTATTCTCTGGTTGATCCCATGACGTAGTGGCTTGCAACCCGAGAATGGCGCCAGTCGCTGTGCCCGCGAGTCAACGGCTTAGAGAAATACGAATTCTCATTCTTGATCAATGGCTCAAGTCAATAGCATCACCGTATCTGGATACTTGTGCGTGTGTGGTGTCCTGCCGGGCTGGCCGCAAATCAGGTCAGCCCACAAGTGACGACAGCCAAGCATCCCGTCTACATTCGCCTCTGGACAACAAAGGAGCGTGCCCTCAATTAAGCCACTCAAGAGGATAGAGCAGAATCACTCCGTCGGCGAGTTAATAAGGAGCAAGCAATCAAGCAGTTCGAGGGGTCGGGAACTGCCCCGCCATTCGAGGGTCCCACTTTACCTGTCCATTCAGCTGACTAAGCAAAACCACTTTGGCAGTTTTAATGGACGGGTAGGTACGTACCTGCCGGCGCGTCTTGTCTTTAGCAGGGGACGCGTCGGCGCGGCCCTGGTCGGCGGCCCATTTGCAACCCCTTCACCAACGGGCGCGTGTTCGTCTTCCTTCCTCTCCTGATAAGGCGCTCGTACGACTTCATCCAACCTCCAACGACTCTCTCTAGCCTCCCCAAACTCGGTATTCGGTTTCTATATTTGCTTTACTGGATTGTTTATCTCGAAAACGCGCAGAGCTCGAATACGTCTCGCATGTGGGCGGTCCCGAGGTCTTGTCCGGTGCAAAGAATCATTAATGAAGCGTGCAATCACGCCCTTCCGCCTGACACAATTCAAGAATAATCGACGGTCGACACATAAGTTTCCTGTTGGCCACTAGCGCAAACTTGTTCCAGCCACCACTGCAGCTCGTTAGACTCGATGCCGCTTTTCGAGATGTCGGCCAACGTGCAGGAGCCTAAATCAGGCCGCAAACGCAGCCACGAGGAATTCTCCGGCGATGAAGGCAGAGAAAACACCCCCATAGACGACAAAATGCCCTCACAGTGTCATGTGCGTCCATCGGGCGATTCTCGTGAGACGGCTCCACTTTCGTGATTGATTTATTGCTAACGATGTTGTAGTCTTGCCGCCCGTCTCCAGCGACCTTCTATGTTGCTCGCCCCGAGGCTCGCCTACTATTCCGGAACCTGGGAGCAGCACCGCTGCCTGCAACTCGCCGACACCCGAAACGCCCCCAAAGGCCAACGGCTCGCAACCAGCTGGCACAGCACAAAGCTCAAACCCTCCTGTGAAGCGCAAGAAGCTGACCGCTGCGGAGAAGGAGGCGCGCGACAAAGAAGCCACTGAAAAGAAGGAGCAAAAGGAGCGCGAGGCTGCAGAAAAGAAAAAGGATCGCGACGAAAAGGCGGCCATCAAGGCTGCCGAAAAGGCTAAGCAAGAAGAGGAAAAGGTCGCACGCCAACAGGAAAGGGACGACAGGCGCAAGAAGAAGGAGGAAGAGGAAAAGCTAAAGGCAGAGCAGCGTGAGGAGAAGAAGAAGCTCAAGGAGGATGAGGAGAGACGCGCTCAAGAAGAAAAGGAAAGAAAGGCTCGCGCTCAACCCAAGCTGATGAGCTTCTTCAAAGCTCCTACGACGCCCAAGAAAGCTGCACCCACTGCCGCCACGAGTGTAAGCCCAGCAAAGGGCGTAACTGGCACGCCCGATAGAAAGCCCACAGTTACGCCGTACGAGGCAATGTTCAACCCCTTCTTCATCAAAGAGCACACTCGAATGGCTGCCAGCCCGTGCAGCATGGACCAGGCGACGCGCGAACTCAAGTCAAAACTCCTGGACGAGTTCATTGCAGGAGAGCGCAGGGCTGACGTTGCATTTAACCCTATGTCTCTATTTACACTGCCTTGTGCAAGGAAACCCCGTGGGAAGGAGTACCCACCGGTGCGCCATATCATGGAAGCGGTATATAAAGAGATGGAGCGCTTAGGTACCACTGCTTCAGCAGACATCCTCGAAGCTGCCAGAAAGAAGCTGGTCGGTATTCCTGTCAAAGTGATTTCCTTTTCGCGGGATGTCCGGCCTCCATATTACGGCACTATTACCCATGCACCGTTCATCCTGGGCCAGAAGAATATGAGGAAAGTCGCGCGTCAATCGGCGAGCCGATGCCTGCAACTGGAATATGATGATGATTCAGAAGCCGAGTGGCAGGAAGAAGAAGGCGAGGACCTGGACGCCGACGACGACGATGAGGAAATGGACGACGAAGACGACTTGGACGGTTTTCTTGATGATTCTGAAGAGTCTGGACTGACTCGCCGCACGTTTGGGAACACCATGGAACCCGAAACCACTGGGATATGCTTCGAAAATGAGAACCGCAAGGCATCCAGTCAAGCCGCCACAGATAATAAGATGGAAATGATCCTGGGTATGTACTGACCTTGTTCTACGAAACCCCGCTTACTGACTTTGCCAGACACTTTCTACCAAAACGCCACTATAGACCCTTTTGCGACTTTGTATTGGGAACCGGACCCCAAACCAGTCCCTGTCAAGGTGACTTTGACAGTTCAAGCCGAAAAAATGCCACCGCCACCAACCCCCGCCAATGCATTTACTGGTCGCAGTGGCGGTAGTGCCGAAAGTTCACAGACAAGACTGGTCAAGGCCGAGCTCATGAATGACATCAAGAAGGCCATTTTGCAAAACAAGGCGCTCTCGAAAGCTGGCATTATTGATTTTCTTTTTCAGAACTTCCGTGACAGCGTGTCCCGCGTGGAGGTAAAGAACACTTTGGAGCTTGTTGCTGAAAAGAAGGGGACTGGCAGGGTGAAGGAGTGGGATCTGAAGCCCGGGCACGAAATTTCTCTGTAGGAGCAACCCATATTGATCATAACTGCATACAAGGGGTTTGCATTAGCGTGGCGCATTCGGACATTTTGCTTTTATGACGCCGGTTAGCACCTGTCAGCCACGGCGCTGTATATATTGCTGGGTCAGTTTTCTGCAATGAGACCATGTTGTATAGATGATTTATATACGGAGCGCTGTCATTCGTTTTTCGCAGTACATGGCTCCAGCTCGTCAAGGATGAATCTAGTCACAAGCCGTTGGACTTACACGATGTACATAGGATTGCGGAGGCAATCGAGTTCAGCTTTCTTGTTGCAACCCATATGTTTTTCATTACGACTATACACCATGCTGAAGAGACATATACTATCCTTGCCTCCTTTTTTTAAACCAGCTGCTTGACTTTACAAGCAGTGGAAGGACAAACTGCGGTTTCGACGTCATCTCGACTGCCCCCCTCTCCACCCGCCCAAGTGGAGCCGGCTGCAGGGGAACGACGATGAACTAAAAAGGCTTCCTTATAAGCACCCGTAGCCCCGTCCTTCCTCTACCCTTGAACATGAGCCGCGTGGACAGCAGCACAGCTTGACACATTTATCGCGCAATATATTCAACGGCCACGCACTCACAAACTGCCTACTAGTTGCCAAGCTCGCCGCGCGATCCGATCCCAACACCGACATGAACGACCCTGCGGAACGACATTGAAAAGACAGACGACGACGCGCGTTGTGTGCAGCCAGACGACGGACAGAGCAGGCGTCGCATGAGATGAGAGACCCATTGTCGGCATGGAAGACCCGTGGAGCACGCCGTGGGCGGTAGACACGCCGTCCGCGTCGCCCGGGCTGCCACCGACCAATCCCGCGAAGCTTGCCTCCTCGCATGGCGGTGGGGGGTTGAACACCCCCCTTGACAGCTCGCCGTGGGATGCTGCTACGACAACGACCGGATTGGACGCGGGCGCTCGGGACGACGACGATGCCTGGGGCGGCTGGGACGACGGCAATAACAACACTTGGGCCGGGGCTGCGTCGGAGGGCTTCTCCGCGCCGTGGGGGTTTGTGGATAGGGAGCAGGATACGGGCATCGCGGCTGACTCTGCTGTAAGCTTTGGCGAGGAGGCAAGACGCGTGCCGGTAAGCAAGATGCAGGACGGTGTCAAGAAGAACCCAATGACGCTGCTGGAGGATGAGCAGGATGCTTGGACGGCGTCGCAGGAGATGACGGTCACCACAGAGGCGCCGGCGGGGAAGAATGGACCGGGTCTTAGTAAAGGGGAATCGATAGCAAAAGAGGACGCTCCACAACCGGCTCCGCAGACGAGGTTGGACAAGGCGACCAAGGTACAGGAGCTCGTCAACATGTACGACGGTATAGCGAACAGGGCGGTGCAGCTGCCGGAAGAGACTACGCATCGGGATACGAGATCAACGGACGAGGCCGAAGTGGAGGAGGAGGATAACACCAGCGAGGATCCCGCCAATGACGAGGTCTGTCATGTCGAGCAAGAACTCAACCTTGGTGGAGAAGAAGAGGGTGCGAGAGGTATAGAAGCAGAGGCGGCGAGCATGACAGACTTTGGTATTGTTAAAAACATTACGCCTTTGGATGACGAGACGATCAATGAGAAATCAACGCCAGGGCCGGTGAACGAGGCACAACAAAACGCCGTCAAGGAAGAAGCCAGCCTCTCAGGAGGAGCCAAACGAAGTGGCTCTGAAACTACAATGATTAACGAAGAATCAGACCCTGCGCCGGTAGAAGAGGGAATAGTGGACATCAGCGCTGGAGCCTCCTCTTTATCAGAAACGAGGCAGGACAGCCCCCAAACCGCAAAACCTGATTCCAAAAATCCGCCCTACCCCATCGACCTCCAGCATCTCGACGCGCTCTTCCCCAGCTCTGCGCCCTCCTGCGCACGCCCCGAGCCCGTCTCCGACGTCATCATCCACGACTCGTACACGACGACGTCGGAGCGCAAGACCTGGTACCGCGTCAGCGCCACGCGGCCGCGCGACGACGCCGACGCTTATCGCCGCGTCACCTGGGCCGCGTCGACCGCGGTCCGGCCGCGGACGCTGCGCATCGTGCGCCGCTGGATGGAGGAGGACTCAATTGCGGGCCGCGTCGTGCTCGGGAGCCGCGGTGGCGGCGCCGGCGGCACGACAATTGGCGCGAGCATGTTCAACTGGGACTCGAGCGAGCCGGTGGTGGAGATTGGCGAGCTGCTGCGACAGCAGCGCGCCGGCCACGGGATGCACCGCAGCGGCAACGGGGCGCCGGTGACCCCGGCGCTGGGCTCGTCTGCGGACATACCGAAGTCGCCGTGGGAGGAAGACGAGTTGGCGACGCAGGAAGGGAAGAGGACCTCCGCAGATCTCATGCCCCCACCGCCAGCGCCAGAGGGCAGTGCCGAAGCCGCGGCAGTAGCGAACAGGAGCGAGCCCGCGCGGCTGGAGCCGGCATCAGCGAATGCAGACGAAGAGGGCGACGACGAGGATGACTGGGGTGAAATGGTTTCGTCGCCCGTCGTCGACGCGAGCCCCGCGTTTGCCTCACTGTCCGCATTAGCGGGTACACAGTCGACGCCTCTGCGACACTCCTTTGAAGCAGACTCGTGCGGCTTGGACTTTGTCGAGTCCCCGGCGCCGAAACCCGCGACACGGGCCAACCCGCCGCCGCCCATCCGCACCGCTGGCACCTCGGGCGTCTCATCCCCCATGTGGACGCCCAGCATGCACTCGCCGGCTCTAGAGCCCCTGCGCGCATCGATGGATGGCACGCGGGTCAAATCGGCCGTCGGCACACCCGTTCTGGCAAGTACCCCGGGCTTGGACGTGCCTCGTGCGTCAACGAGCAGCAGCAGGATGTCCATGGAGCGCGCGTGGACGCCGGCGGTAGTATTAACGCCTACGGCGGAGGATAGGCCGTCCATGGACGGTTCTCGGACGCAAAAACCCGCTTCGCCTTCGATGCATACCATGGACAATGGTGGAACAAGAAGCGCCGCTGCGGCCATGAGCGTGTCGCCGTCGGCCAGCCGAGGGTCCTTTGAGGATACATGTACAGTGGAAGAAAAGGCAATCATAGACGCGGCTCTACGAAGCCTGCCAGATTTGTCGTATATGCTGCGCTAAGAGTAACGATGACGAATATAAAACAAGACGAAAAATATTGTATAATAAATAGTACACATAGCTAAGCGATTGCATGGTTAAATAAAATGACACCTGTATAATACCGCTCAAATCTCAATCTATAATGCATAATGCGCCGTTTCTATATTCCCAGGATGCGGATATAATGGTTCTATTTAAAGTCGAATCGCGCCCTCGCCCGGCACCTCCTCACCCGAGACGGGCGTGGCCTCGCCCGACACGGGCTTGCGCGGGGGCGACCGGACAAACATGAGCGCCAGCAGGGCGAGGGACGACAACAGCGCGACATAAAAGTACGGCAACCCCGTGTACAGGCCCTTTCTCAGCAGGCCGACGTTGAAAAAGTACGCCAGCACGGGCGCGCCGACAAAGGACCCGAGCACCTCGGCCACGCCGATGAGGGCGTAGAGGCGCGAGGTGAAGGCGGCGTCGACGTGGTGGGAGACGGTGGCACGTGCGAGCGGGCTGTCGGCGGAGCTGAGCGTCGAGACGGCGAGCCCGAGGACGAAGACGGCAACGTTGGGGGCGAGGCCCTGGACGAGGGCGCCGGCGACGAGGAGGGCAGTCGAGGCGCGCGTGAGGAGCAGGTCGGTGGCAAAGACGGTGCGGCGGCCGCGCGCGACGAGGCGGGCGGCGAGGCGCGGCAGGCCGCCGAGGACGACGAGGGCGAGCACGCCGACGGGGGACAGCAGGACCGACGTCTGGCCGAGGGTCCAGCCGTAGTGCTTGGAGACGTACTGCACGAGCGTCGAGGCGTAGGCCGTCATGCGCGCGTTTTGCGTGAGGAAGGTGACGAGCACGAGGGCCACGTTGCGGTTGCGCAGGATGCGCAGCGAGGCGCGCAGGTCGTCGAGACCGCGGGCCATGTGGGCGCGGAAGTCGCTGGCGGGGGTGGCAGCGGCGGCGGATCCCGTCTTGACTTTCAGCGTCTCGGGGAGGAGGAGGAGGACGCTGATGAGCAGGGGCGAGATGGAGATGACGATCCAGATGGGCACCCACGGGCCGAACCGTGTCATGAGGACGCCGGCGAGCAGCGGGCCGAGCAGGCCGCCCGTGGCGGATCCCAAGCTGATGTATAAAAAGTTGGCTGCTCTACAAGGGCAGGACGAGTCAGCAAAAGATGATTTCTCGTCTCGACCAAGACCATGAGATTGGGGGCGGGGGGGAGGGGCGCACTTTTCCTCCTCAGTGCTCACGTCAGCCACCACGGCGTAGAGCGTCTGCAGCAGCACGGGGATGCCGCCGCCGGCCGCCTGGAACAGGTTCCCCCAGAGGAGCAGGTACGGGTTGTCGCGCACGCGCTGGCGCAGCGGCGGGCCGAGCAGGACGGGGGTGAAGAAGAAGGAGGCGAAGAGGCCAAGGTATGCGAGCAGCGCGGTAGGTTTGCGGCCGAAGCGGTCCGACATGGCGCCAAACGGAAACGCGGTGACCAGGGCTGTGTTTGTTGTAGCAAAGAACAGTGAGTACACATCCAAAAATTTGGCCGGTGGAAATGTGTGCAGAGCACGTACTGACGAGGGAACCCACGAGGCCGGACCAGCCGAGAAACGTGGCCAGGCGGGCCTGGACGCCGTCGTCCTTGCACCGGCGCTCGTCGAGCACGTCGGGGGACGTGTCGGCCAGGACGCCGTGGCAGATGGCGTCCTCGACGAGCCGGAAGAGCGGCACCAGCAGCATCATGCCGCTGCAGACGATGCAAAACTTGGAGAGGGCGACGACGAGGACGATGCTGCGCGGCGAGCGGACCTGCCACCACGCTGCGCGCCGCCGCTGCCGCCGCCGCCGCGTGGGCCACGGGTCGTCTGGAGACGCCGCATCTGCCGCCGCCGCGGCCTCGGCTTCGTCTGGTGTCAGGAGCCGCGTGGCCGTCTCGTCCAGCTCGAGGTCGTCGGGATGTGCCATGGCGGGGGTTCTGTGTGGCGTTGTGCTACGGCGGCCGGAAAATACGGCGCAGCGGTGCAGTATGCGAGAGAAAAAGCAACGGATAAATTAAATTGATTGATAGTAACTTGTAGATGGACAAACTTGGATTGCATCACGCCGGTGAAACAACCGGCTGAAACGACTTGCGCTGCATGGCTGAGCCGGGCTGAGAGGCTGATCTGGTCGACCGACCAGGGTCTGTCAGCCTCGCGGCATGGGCAACAAATGCGACGAATGCGATAGGTTGGCGTTAATCGCTGGCATGCAAGACGCCCACCAGGGGCGGGAAGGCTTGCGTATACCCGCGGGGGCTCGGATCTAGTTATGTTTGATGGCGGCCTGCGGAGTAGTTGAGAATGGAGGCGGGTTGAGCGTTGCGCGGCTGTGCAGAGCTGTTGTTGTGGCTGGCGTTGTGGCTGTGCGGCAATCGTAGTGCCTGTTTTTGCAAATACAGCCAAGTTTTGTCGCAATCTGCCAACAACGAGTCTTTTGTCTGTATTAGGTCTTTCGTTATTAGTTATGGTATTGCCGCTCCTTGATCTTATTCATGCTCCCTGTATTATAACGTACCAGTTTTAAGGCATGAGATCCTCATTAGTGGAAACTCAATTTCCAACTACCCGTCTCGGAAGTCATCGCAAAGATCCCACCAATGACGGGTAAATTTAGTGCGAATAATCAATCGGAGAGATTTTAGCGCCTGCCGAGCAGAATGAAGTAGATCGGTCCTGGCAATTTTACTATGCTGTCATAGTATGCAGTATGCCATGTCTGGCCGCCAATGATACCTTCTTCCGCGTATCCGTCGATCCATGCTTACTCTCACAGACACGGCCTTTTCCGGCAAGAATTTCTCCCTAAAAGCGCGCCTCTTCGAAAGTGACCTTGAAGTATAAGAACCGAGAGAGCCTTGCCATTGGGGACGGCTGGGCTGTAGCAACCACCCTTGCACTCTACCTCACAACACACCCACCCAACAATCGACAATCATGCGTTCTCTTGCCTACACCATCACCACTGCCATGGCCTCTGGCCTCGCCCACGCCGCCACCAACCCCAAAGCCCAAGGCGCCTGCTCCCCCACCAAGGGCGGCGCCGGCGCCTGCGGCCCCAACGGCTCCGAGCAGTGGCTCAACACAGGTCTGACGGCGGACGGCTGGACGCCGCCCTTTCTCGACATCAACTCGCTCACCCACATCACGCTCGACGCCTACTACAAGGGCGTCGGCAAAAACTGCCAAAAGTACGACCAGTACTTCCAGAGCGCCGGCCGCAAGTACAACATTGACCCGGCCATCCTCGCCTTCCTCGCCATGCAGGAGTCGTCGTGCAACGCCGACGAGGGCGGGCCCACGCCGGGCCTGATGCAGTGCGCGCCCGCCAACTGCCAAAACGGGAAAAAGAGCTGCCAGTACCCGGTGCAGGACAATGTCGACTGCGGCGCGCACGTGCTTCGGCAAGGGCTGGACGCCAACGGTGGCAATGCCGTCAAGGCCATTGGCGCGTACAATGGCTGGTTCACGGCCGGGTCGGGGCTCAACGGCAACAAGGGCATCACGGAAAAGTACCCGTGCAGCAGCGAGGGCAAGAGGAACGGGCTCCCGCAGAACCTCAACTACATCCACGAGACGCTCAACGGCTGGTTCCAGGGCTACGACATGTACGGCAAGGACAGCGGGCTTCACGGAAAGTACAACTGCCAGGGAAAGTGCACTGGCAGTAATCTTTGTTAGTGTGTGGCGGCGAAACGGAAGCAAAACGAATTGCAGAAACTGTTGGAATACGTCATTCATAGTGCGCATCGCGAGAATCTTCTTGTCCATGCCCCAATGTAAAGCGACCGCTATGTCGAGTGTAGCTGTATTAAAGATAACCAAATAAATACGACTTCAAGTCCGTCTCTATACATACCAGAATCAGACAGTCTGCCCCCGCCGCCACCACGTTTATTAATCGCCTTGTTGTAGGCTTGTCGCGGTTTCTCCCTAAAACTCCCATCACAAAGCTTCTTATTACGAAGGAGTACACAACCTCTCTGTCCGGGTCATCTAGGATCACAGAATGCTCGTCCCTGGGCCAGCTGCTCCCTGGAACAACGCCTTGTGAATCATGCACCGCAGTCCTGAGCAAGCACCCGGCGCCTGGAAGCCCCGCCCTGCAAAAATGGCCTCAGCCGTTGGATCATCAGTTGTAAATCAGAGGCCCGAGTGCAACTTGCCTCGGACCTTGCCCGCAAAATACGCGGTCGTGGGCAAGTACGTCACGGGTGGACTCCCAGCTCGTGCCGTCGAGCACACGGAGCGGTTCTTTCATTGCACCGATGAGCGACGCTGCGTAAAATGCGCACCGGGGGTGCAAATGAGAGACGTGGTACGCTGAGGCTTGTCTGCAGGGATCTTGGAAACTTAAGCCGTCATCATTGGCTGATGGGAAGGAGTCCGAAGTCGTGGTCAACCGGAAGTGGAGGGGGCGGGGCCGCTCCCCAGGTCCGAGCCGGACCCGGATCGGACTTTCCATCGCCATGAAAGCAAAGCCAACAGGGAATGGAAAGTAGATTGCCCTGGGATAAAACAGCCCGAGGTGTTCATATCTCGCAAGTCTGCAACAAGCGAGGCAGTGCTTGATGTATTAAAAATAGGTTTCTTGCATCGCCGCTGACGCGGACAGGTGGCGCGTAGGTATTCCAAAGTAGTATAAGACAAGCAATGTGTTCAAGGCAAGACTCTAGAAAGCCCAACTCGACAGATTCGTCTCCAAAATAATCTCAGCAAAGTTAAAACTCGTCCCGCTCGTTCCAAACATGCTTCTTCGACCAACACCGACGCTGCACCTTCGCGCGACCAGTCCGTCGCCGCCGTGCACGACCGCCGTCCCGGACAAGTTCGGCCACGTCCCTCCCGAGTCCTGCAACGCAAACTACGGATTCTACCCCCAATGGCAAGACAATCTCGTCTTTGCTGCTCTTTTCGGTCTGGTGACGGCGGCGCACCTAGCGCAAGCGATTGTCTACAAAAAGGCATGCAAGCCAACATGGCACCGCCCTGGTAGCACAAATCGCTAACAAAGCTGCAGAGGTTTTGCTGGGTCATCATCATGGGCGCTTCCTGGGAGTGCATCTGCTTCGTCCTTCGAACTCTCGGCGCACGCGACCAGCAAAACTCAACCTACGTGATGCTGTCTACACTCATCTTCCTTCTGGCACCACTGTGTTCGTCCTCTTGTCCCGCGCTCTGGAGCCCCGAGACCAAAACTCTAACCAGCAAACTATCATGTAGGGATTAATGCCTTTGTCTACATGGTTGTAGCTCGGCTCGTCTATTTTCTTGATGCCGCCAAGCGGGTTCTGCGCATCCGGGCGACTTGGCTCGCCCAGGGCTTCGTGTCGGCCGACGTGGTGTGCTTTGCGGTCCAGGCCGTCGGAGGCGCGCTCATGGCGGGCGGCCAAAACAATCCGAAAAACGCCAATCTCGGCAAGACAATCTACATGGTGGGCTGCAGCATCCAGCTCGCATGCGTCGTCGTCTTTGTGTTTGTGGTGGCCGCCTTCCATCGCACCGTGCTGCGCGACCGTCGAGCAGGCACAGCCAAGACGCGCAATCGCAGGATCCAGCCGCTGTTTTGGGTGATTTTTCTAGTTTTAATCCTTATAGTGGTAATACGACGCCGCCTCGAATCCCGCACGCTAGACTAGCCAACAACGCTGACACCCAACATCAGGAACGCATCATCTTCCGCTTGGTCGAGTTTAGTCGCGGAGCGGACAGCTCGAACCCGCTGCTCCGACGAGAATGGTACCAGCTCTACCTGGACGGCTTGCCTATGCTACTGGCCCTGGCCGCACTGAACCTGGTTCATCCCGCACTCGTTCTGCAGGGCAAGGACAGCGAAATGCCGCCTTCCAAGCTGCAGTGCTGGCGCCGCCGACAGTCCAACTTTGGCCCCCTTCCGTTGCACTCAATCGAAAGCCTAGAGCGGCTTTCGCAGCGGAATTAGTCTTGATTATATCCCTAGGGGGGTTCGGTCACCATGTTAAGACAAGAGAGCGGAGGGACGCTGTTTGGAGGGTTTCGCACGGTAAAGGAATGGCTTTGACGATTTCAGCACACCATGACCAGAGCTAATCAATTCGTTTATCCGTCAACTTCAGTCGAGTGCTACTATAAATTCACATGATATAATGTACATAATACGGATGTACCCTTTGATGATCTGCTTGCATGAGCAGCAGATGTCAGCTCGGGAGGCAAGTGGCAGATGCGATAACCTCAACAGTAAGCCTGCTTCAGTAGTTAGACGCCTGGTATAGATGACGAAATAATACATAATAGATTTTAGTCACTGTCGGTTGTATAATGACGGAAGATTCCGTTCCTGGGCGGAAATGCACCGATCACGGATCTACGCGGGACAAGGAATCAGCAGCGGGACCTTGTCTTGACTAGGATTTGCAACATTCAGGTTTCGGACTTGTCTAAGTGTACAGTAGGCTGGATCGACCGTTCAAATATATCCGGTTCGGCCTTGGAATCTTTGCAGCCGTCAACGGATTCTCAATCCAACTTGAGCTTTTGTCTTTTACCTCCTCTACAAGTTCACCTCAAAGTTGCCGACTGGCTACAGTGCCTAATAATGCAAACATCGCTGACCACGCTCCTCCTATGCTGGTGGTACTGGTTTCTCTCAATAGACTATTGGTAACTAGCCCGGACTAGCTCTCTTGTCATGAGGTTGCCCTCACACAAGTAAACAGCAAGGTGGTAAGCCTCGGGCCATTTCCTCCCAGTTCCCAGTCCATGGTGGCACTATTTTTATCCAAGCTATCGCGGAACGGGAAGGTGAGGCTACGACTCCGCATCGACTTCTGATAATGACAGCTATGGACAGCGGAGTTGTCGGGGGTTAGCTTTTACGCTTATCTGAAAATCGCATAAAACAGGTGCAAAATACTGCGCGAACGCAAACAATGGCAGACTTGCGCTGGTGAGTTGGGGTCAGTGTTTCCGCGTTTGGGAGTAAAAGTATCCCCTGTGTATTGCATGTTCAGTGTCGGGCCACAGTCGTATCTTGTCCCGCAGAACTCGCGCGAAAGGGGCTGGCTGGTTTTACACTTTGCGTGACCACGTACAGATGGGGACGCCGCCTCCATCGCCAAGCGTCCATCGCCAAGTACTCATCGCCAAGGATCAGCAGCAGCCACAAATCTACACCAAGTTGGGATTTGGCCCGATTAGCCTAACCCATCGCCGACCGGAACTTTTGTTTTGCGATTCTGGGATTTGGCCCGATTAGCCTAACCCATCGCCGACCGGAACTTTTGGGTTGCGATTCTGGGGGTAAGAATCCCGGGTTCCCTATCCGGGAAAGTCGTCCTGATGACACTCTTCGTTTACACATAACAAGACGAGCCTGTCTACGCCATCAGCTCCAAGAGACATCCAACCTGCTCCTCTCGGCCTAGGAATATGTTCAGTCGAGTCCAATCTCGGTCAAAGCAGATCCAACGACTGCCATGAGACGCTACTGCCATGAGACGCTACACCATCCAGTCGCCACCGCTGGTTGACTTTCCAAGGCAGGGAGAGGAAGATGACGGTAACTGGTCGAAGGCAGTTTGTATTACGGAACGGAATCTAGAAGTACAAGACGACTAATCTAGTAAAAGAAGGCAGAATGTTTCGAAATGTCATCATGCCATGGTCAATAGCGTCAGGTGCGTCGACTGGGACCATGATATCCTTGCACGGTAGAGCGACAAGGAACGACGGTGCCGGTCGACCATCTCAACCTTCCTAATGTGGCAGTTCAAAGTGTCTTCAAAGCATATCCAGAGTATCCCGAAGAGCCTCAGAATCAACTATAAAGAGGTCTTCTTGTTCGCCGCTACAACGGACATGTTCAGCAGCCCACTCTCATCAGCCTCTCCTCACACCAAGTACCCCAAAGACCTTTCAGGATGGTTTCCTTTTCCAAGATTTGCGTCGTCGCCTTGTCGGCCGGCGGTGTCCTCGCCGCGCCCGCGCCCCACGGCCCTCTCGTCAAGTTTGGCGAGCTCAAGAAGCTGCCCTCTAGCTGGGTGGCCACCGGGGCCGCGGACAGCAGCGCCGTCATCAAGGCCCAGATTGGTATCAAGCAGACCAACATTAAGGGTCTCCAGGACAAGCTGGCGGACATTGCCGACCCCAACAGCCCCAACTACGGTCAGTGGCTGTCCAGAGAGGAGGTAGCCAAGTACACCGCCCCCGCGGCGGCCGACGTTGCTGCCGTCAAGGCCTGGCTCGCCAGTTCTGGCATCACCGACGTGGCCATGCCCACCAACGAGTATGTTTCTACCCTCCTTCCGTGCTCACACTTCCGCCAATACATCAATACTAATACACATCCCTCTCAGTTGGATCGAGTTCTCCGTCCCCGTCTCCAAGATGGAAACCCTCCTCGGAAGCAAGTACGAGTGGTTCGTCCACCTCGAGACTGGCGAAAAGGTTCCCCGGACCAAGGAGTTCTCCGTCCCGCAGAACCTCCACAGCCTCATTGACGTCGTGACCCCGACCACGGTGCTCTACCACAACATCAACCCGCACACCCACGACAGCCAGCTGGCCGCCGGCGCCGCCGGCCTCACCAGCCCGGCCTCGATCAAGTCGGCGTACAACGTCGACTACAAGGGCACGGGCAACACGCTCGTCGCGACCACGGGCTTCCTCGGCGTCGGCGCCTCGCACGCCGACTACCTCAGCTTTGGCCGCCAGTTCTCGCCCGGGCTCGCCGACTTCCAGGACGTCAGCGTCAACGGCGGGCGCAACAGCGGCGACGGCAGCGCCCTCGAGGGCAACCTCGACACGCAGTACTGCGGCGCGCTGGCGGCGCCCAACCCGAGCGAGTACCTCGCGCACGCGCCCGAGGGCAGCGACAACGACTCCTTCAACGACGCCATGACCGCCTTTGGCAGCTACCTCAACGCGGCCAGCAACCCGCCATCGGCCGTGTCCACCAGCTACGGGGGCGAGGAGGACGGCGTCGACACCGGCTACCTCGACCGTATCTGCAACGAGTTCATGAAGGCCGGCTCGCGTGGCGTCTCCGTCTTCTTCTCCTCGGGCGACAACGGCGTTGGCGGCAACGGCGAGCCGAGCTGCCAGAACGGCTACTACCCGCTGTGGCCGGCCTCGTGTCCCTACGTCACCACCGTCGGCGGTACCGAGTTTGACAGCGCCGGCCGCGAAGTCGTCGCCAACTTTGAGCAGTACAACAAAAACACCAAGTCCCCCGGCGGCGGCTACTCCAACCACTTTGCCGCCCCCAGCTACAACAAGGCTGTCACGACCTCGTACGCCAATGGTCTCGCCGCGCCCCAGAAGCAGCGCCTCAACCCCAACGGCCGTGGCTATCCCGACATTTCTCTCGTCAGTGTCAAGTACCAGGTCAACGTCAACGGCCAGGTTAGCCAGGTTCTCGGCACCTCTGCGTCCAGCCCCAGTGTCGCTGGCCTTGTCGGTCTGCTCAACGACTACCGCAAGACCCAGGGCAAGCCCAATCTCGGCTTCATCAACCCCCTGCTCTACTCTGGCAAGGTCAACGCCGCCCTTCGCGATGTCACCTCGGGCTCCAACAAGGGCTGCGACAGTGTCGGTCTTCCCGCCAAGACCGGCTGGGACGCTGCCTCGGGTCTCGGATCGTTTGACTTTGGAAAGCTCCGCACCCTCGTCTAAATAACAAAAGGGGTGAGTTTTTACGTTCACGTTTTCTGTTTGTAGACGCCGGGTAAATAAGATGCAGGTTTCAATCGCTGTATATACAAGTTGTTACCTTGAAGATGCATAACTACTATGCTGCCCAAAGTAGTACATGCGCTTTTTGTAAAGAAAAGAGAAAATAGAGCACGGAATGGTCGGTTTTAATCTCCTCACGTCCTCCCAATGCCATGTACTTTTCAGCCTTGAAACTAGGTAGGCAGCTAGCAACTGCTTTACACGACATCAGTTCAGCGCTGGTAAGTGCTTCACAGCAGTTGATAAGACCAAGAGAATAACGCGAAAAAAATCTTTTCCCTCATAGATATAAGCCGATTTCGCACTTCTTATCTAAATCCACTTAATCCACAGCCTAAAGTGATTACTTCTGTTGATGGATGTGTATATAGGGTAGCAAGATGCTTTTTATTGTGGTGAATCGTGGCGCAATACAGCTCTCTAAGCATTTCCTGACTTGTGCATTCTTTCTCCCTGAAAATATATACTTCTACCTTTGACCAGGTATATGTTGGTAACTGTGAAGCATTGCTAGGTTAAAATTTACCCCGGACTGTCGCGTGCCGAGTGCTTGAGGTTCATCGGCTATACCCACAACAAGACGCCACGCCACATGGTGGCGCTAAACTGATGTCATGTTAATGAGGAAGACTTGCTCTGGGTCGCTCATAAAATCACACATCTATAGATGTGGTAGTTTATGGAATTGCCGAGGCTGATGCCTTCCTTCTTAGCGGGCTCCTATCTGTTGACCGTTCAAATGACTCGTAAAACTTAAGATAGGGATAGAATACGCAAAAAGGCCGCAAGCCACACGTTGTGGCGATGCATGACAAAGCCAAACTGAAAGCAACCACACATCAGATCTTAATCTCATCTCCACAAATTTGTCCTCTTCACATTCGACAGTGCCATTTAATCTGATAATGCATTCTTGAGAACTGTTGAAAGGGGCGTCTGACACGACTAGGCGACTTTATACAGCGAGAGAGGACCTTACCGACCCGACCTACGGCGACGTGGCGTTGGTTGCTGACACTGCATCACTGCAGCCATCCGTTTGCCATCACAGAGCGCACAACGCCGCAGAGGCAGCCTGCAAGTCATACGTCCTATAACGGCGACAATTTTCGCCATGATTATCGACGGCGAGACGTACGCGTGCGAGAGCTGCGTTCGCGGCCACCGGACGCGCACTTGCCAGCACAACGGTAAGCCTCACCACCAACAAAACACCTCAGGCCATAGCCACCGCTAACCATCGCGCCACCAGATCGCCCTCTGCAACACATCAAGGCTAAAGGCCGTCCAGTGTCGCAGTGCAACCACTGCCGCTCAGAGCGCAAGAACCGATCGGCGCATGTCAAATGCCAATGTGGCAAACGGGCGTCCGAGGGGGGGTCAGGTACCAAGTCTTCCAACATAGTCCTTGCTAGAGGCATGGGGCTAACAGCGCATCTAGACTGCGGTTGCTTTTCTGGTGGGAAATGCAAATGCGCAACCAAAAAGAGCCCAAAGCAAGAGCCCACACAGCTTGGCGACATATCAGAGGGCATGTCCGATCTGGCGTCGCCAGCCAGCACGTGGATTACAGCCAGCCCAGGACCGCTACCTGTCAACACAGACTTTCAATGGTCAGAAGGCGCGATACCGGCGTCGAACTTCTCGTCGCTGGACGATCTGGCCCAATTTGATCCCAACGCCTGGATCACCAGCCTACCGCTTGACGCTGCGGCAGCTTTTGGTGGAAGCCAGTTGGACCAAAGCGCCCTCACCACGCTGCCTACCACGGACGCAGAAATGGCGCATCTCCCCCCAGAATATCACCAGCCATTTGCGACGGGCATGCCTGATCTCGCAAACATGGCGGATTGGCCGGCCTTGGATGACGAAGCGGCCAAGGAATTCCTTGCCATGATGGATACTTCAGCGGGCGTGGATTTGAACGGCTTCGATGCAGGCACGTTCCATATAGAGCACGGAAGTCACCCGGATGCACCCCTCGGACTAGAATTTTCTTCTGTAGGCGAGCAACTACCACCTGCGCAACCAGCTACAGGCGCGTCAAGTGGCACCAAGTGCAGCTCGAAGCAGGACGAAGGATGCGGACCTTGTTGCGGGTAGATTTATACTTTTTTTTGGCCTATATACCGTGAGAACATGTGCAAATAACCATGTTCTTGAATCAGCATTTTCATCCGAGATTGTTACTTTTACGCCCCCCATCAGCACATGCATGGCATGGCGGGGTCACAACGCCAAACCCCGCCAAGCCAATCTCCAAATCGCTCGGTTATCAACCTTCAACCTCTCTTCTCCCACACCTCACGCCAACAATCGCGCCACCCAATCTCATCGCCAAAAAAACATGGCAGGCGCCCCTCTCAGGATCGGCTACGTGCCCGAGCACTTTTCCACGCCCATCTACTTTGCCCAGAAGCACTACGGCCTGGATGCGGTCCTGACGCCGTTCCCGTCCGGCACCGGCGCCATGATCACCGCGCTCCGGGCCAAGGAGATTGACATTGGCATCGGGCTTACCGAGGGCTGGATCGCCGGCCTCGGCAAGGAGGACCTGCCTGGCGACGGCGGCTACCGCTTAGTCGGCACCTACGTCGACACCCCTCTCTGTACGACTAGCTACCACCAACCCTGCCCATTGCACCCATCCGCTGACAATCTCTTCCCCAGGCTGGGCCATCTCGACCGGCGCGCAGCGTCCCGACATCACATCGGTCGAGTCCCTCCAGGGCGGCAAGATTGGCGTCTCTCGCATCGGCTCCGGCAGCTACGTCATGGGCTTCGTGCTCGCCGACCAGCGCGGGTGGCTGGCGCCCGGGCAGCCGTCGCCGCCGTTTTCCGACAATGTCGTGCTGCACACGTTTGCGCACCTGCGCGAGGCCGTCAACACCGGCGCGGCTGACTTCTTCATGTGGGAGCACTTTACGCAGAAGCGCTACTTTGACGCCGGCGAAATTCGCCGTGTCGGTGAAATTTACACACCTTGGAGCAGCTGGAAGATTGTCGCGTCGACGGACCTGCCAACGGGCGACGACCGCGTGCAGGCGCTGTTTGACAAGCTGGATCGGGGCGTGGCACACTTCAACGACAACCAGGAGGAGGCGGTGCAGTACATCTGCACCAACTTGGACTATACCGAGGCGGACGCGCGCGAGTGGCTCAAGACGGTCAAGTTTCCGACGCACACCAAGGGCGTCAAGGCGGAGACAGTCGAGAGCTGTGTGACGATTCTGCAAAAAGCGGGTGTGCTGGTGCCTGGCAAGGGAATGCAGCCAGGAGCCATGGTTATTTAAAAAGAAATTACAACAGACCAGGTACAGATTTAAAGTTTTGGAACAGGGGGCAGCAGAGTTGCAGTATTGGCATTTATTGACATGTTATTCGTAGACTATGAACTCCAAACCCATCAATGCCGCGGATCACGACAAAAACAGTACCGAACGATGCTATATGCATAGGGATGCATCAAAAGTTCAATTTTCGTTGCTTTTCATTGTTCAAGGGGACAGCGGTTCAACGGCGCCGAAACCTCCGTCCATCTAGGCAGCATTGACGCACTTGCCAACTGCAAAGGCGGCCTGGCCGTCCTGGAGCGGCTTGAGAATCTTGTTACCCTGGGTCTGGACGACGCTCTGGACAGCGGTGGGCGACTTGGCCTTGATGGCAGCGACGAGCGCAGTAGCGTCAGTGACGCCCGTGTCAAGGAAGTTGCGGACGGTGTCGCACTCCTTGGCCGTCTGCACGTCGGCCAGGCGGCTCTTGAGCTCGTCGACCAGCGATTGACCCTGCGTGGCCAGGGCGTTGGAAGGAGAGACGAGCGAGAGGCACTCGTTGACGGTCAGGGGCGTCATGTTCTGGACGGCGGTGGTGCCGGCCTCGACCTTGGCGATGACCGAGGCAGCCTCGGCCTTGAGAGGGCCGGCATCGCCGTCGAAGGCGGTGGCGGCGGCCTGGAGGTTGTTGAAGCCAGCCTTGACATCGTTGAGGACGTTGGTGACGGTGGCGAGGTCGCGGCCGACGAGCGAGGGGGGCGAGCGCTCGACGGGGGTGGCGACGAAGGCGTTGGCGCCGGCGAAGAAGGCAACAGTGATGACGCTGAACTTCATGTTTGCGGTGGTTTGGTAGGGTTTTGTTTTGGGGGGGAGGTGGGAGAGGAGAGTGATAAGAGTTGATTTGGAGAAGAACAAGAGAGATGGGAAGAATGAATTGGGCTGCTGATAATCCGAAAGCTCAAAGAGAGTAGGAGCGAACGCTTATATAGTCATGTCTCACAAGGAAGCTGCAAGGGCATTGCAACCCGTGCGAGGAGCCGCAGCCGAGGTGCCTCTTGTCGAATGTAACCTGCCTCTTCTCGCCAGCCAGGGAACACACCTGAATAATGATGCGGCGTAATAAATTACGGTCCGCGTGGAAAACCACGCGGTGGCCATTCACACGTAGAGGTCAAGGTTCCACGGTGGTGGGAAGGCGACCCGAGGCTCTCCACATGGCGACGACGCTGAACTTAGATCCCCGCCGGCGCCTGGGCATTCCATCGAACTAGCCCTCAAATCGAGTTATCCCCCGCACTATGGCGGTGGGCTGGTGTGGGTTTCCTCGCACTCTCGCGGTGGATTTCGCAGAGACCATGGAGGTCCGTCGGCAGTTGGCTTGGTCCGTGGTACGTTTTGACAGGCACAACACAATGCGGGGTGGGTTTGGGTTTGGGTTGAGATGTTGTGGCTGCCCTTCTGCGTGCGCCGCATCGTAATAGCCGTTGTTATAACCTGGTCAATACAGATTATAGCCAGTGCATCCTAGTATTGGCTTGGGGGGGGGTTATCGGTCCGCATCGTCCCATTGCCCCTTTTCTGTTATATTACCTGCGATACAACAAAAACCGTACGATTCCTATTACGAGAATGAATGTCTCTTACTCATAAAAACGCGGGGGGATAGTGGGGGAAAACCTCCTTGTATGCTTTGTATGGGGGAAAGGGAGGAGAGGTTTCCACTCCCCGGCCGTGTTCTCTTAGCTGCAGGGGGGAGGCCAATCCTGACAGAGACTTTTTAGTTCCCAACACATCAACTTACCACTTTGTGCTAAAAATCAGATGCTACCGAGGCCATCATTCATTCGAGCGATCATCCACGGCCTACTTTCTGACAACCAGGCGCCACCGCCATGGCCGCCCCATGCCAAGCGGCTCGATTCCCCAACCATAGCTGCCAATCCAGATGCTGGGGTTACCACACTCTAAATGACGCATTAGGAAAAAACAAACGCTGATCTCTGGGTCTCGCAGTTCGCCGCTCGCTCCGAGCTCAACAAGCTCAGCAGGCACCGGCCGAACCTGGGGTAAAGTTTCCGGACTTGTGCGCCACTTCCGCCGCTGTCAACTCTCGTCCGTCAAAGCGTTCACGTTGGGCCCGTACTCCAACAGCAATGAGTACCTCTACTATGCGCTCGTCGCAAGCATGGCGGGTGCATGCAAGGAAGTAGTGCATCCACCCTGCCTGAGTGAGGGACCACCTGAGGGCGGATCTTGCGGACAGCCTGATGAAGGGCAGTCGCCATTCTCTCATTGCGTGATATGTCATGCATCAGCCTATTGATGGAGCAAAAGAAGCTGGCACATGGCTGGCTTATTGGGTATCGTTGAAGGTTGAAGCGGAGCCATTTCATTTGAGCCTGCTCTCAGTGCTTCGAAGCTATAGCCCATGAGTATTTTGGCGATGACTCTTCGGTTGTGTCATACTCAAGCGGGATAGAGGTCTTGAGCAGTATTCGTTCTGTATCCAGATCATTGCACCGCATGGCTCTCGCAAGGACCAATGACTTGAGAGCTGGCATGGTCGTATGTCCGAGGTCCCCGGCATCTTCTACGAGCATCTTTCGATGCCCTTTTCGCATTGAACCAACCTCAGTAATGAGAACCCGTCCTCGCACTGCTATACCTGAGGTAATAGTCTGGCAACCGCGAAGAAGCTCAGTCTGTGCCTCCCAGGAAATGGCCACCGCCGCCGTTTCCAGGTCCAGCATCGCGGACCGGATCAGCACCAGCTTGAGCAAGTTCTCTTGACGCTCTCAATCTCGTCCAGGAGGGCTGCAACGCACAGTGCAGTAGTTCCATGCGGGGTAAGATTCCACGTTGAGCCCCTTGCTGATCAACGTTCCCAAGACACGAGTTCAGCCATGGACATCCACACTGGCCATGCAAAGAAAACCTTCCCTGAAAGTATACTAGGATCCAGGGTATCAATGCATTCATTATATCCCTGAAAACACTCGTGGCAAACTCACGCGCGATGCACAATTATCTTGGTCTCGCGCGCGACTGAGGGCAGTAACGTAAGTCAATCTTGCCTGTCCCCAAGGATTCGTCACTTGGGGATGCGCTCAATCCGTTGGTACTGATAATATGCCGTGGCGCTTCCGCAAACCATTCTTTGACTGCAACGTGATGGTTTCTTGGACTCAGCGACCAAGGAAGGCCCTTTCAACCGTGAAGCAGTGTGTATCTCCCGTCTCAGCGTCTGACTCGAGAGAACAAAGTCCAATCAAAATCACTGCCATGCTCATTGACGGGATACAGGCTCTCGGCAAGCAAAGGCAGCTTGTGCGCGAGTTGTCCTCGGAAAGGGTAGCATCTGTTCTTCGGCAGAGGCTGGATGTCGTCCTTGGCTGTAGGGCCGCATTGATGGCGGCGCGACTCGAAAATATCCGTGTGGGCTAGATTGCTGAGTGTGGCCAAGTTGTCGACATGGGGATCGAGATCGAGCAGCGTTCAAACGGCAGCGGTAAAAGCTCGTGGCGGAACACGCCGGGTGCAGGGCGAAAAGCCACTCCCGTCGTTACACATCTCAGCCACCATCAGCCACCATGCCTGTGATAGGTACCTAGGTACAAATTACTCACAACCTGTGACAGTTTCAGTGGCTCTGGGGCGCTTTCAGGGGCGTCAACAACAGCTACAGCGCTTTCAGCGCCAAAATGCGCCTGACTCAGACCCAATTAGCGCCTCCTGATTTTTCCCTTTAGTCAGGAGGGATCGTTGTCATCATCAACCAACCGTTCTCACGTTACTCAACAACGGCCGCTCCTCGATCCCTGTCCTACTAGCGGCATCCGAGCCGCTCACCACTCGTTTTTTCTTGCGTCCTGCGCTGACCTATTGTCCAATCCGGCTTTATTTTCTTTGGGCCGAATGCCTCTCCGTTCCCGACATTTCCGACGCTCCCGCGCTGCGTTGACTGGCTCAACGCCGTCCCTGGGACGCAGCCGCTAGAACATTACGACTTGTGCACACCACGGCCATCATGCTCTCTACGACGGCCACTCGTGCCTCCGGGACTGACCCGGACACTGCGGCTGCTCGATTTTCAGACGAGGTCATGGAGCTGGAAGAGCCGGCGGCGGCGACCACGAACATCGCGACGACACCCACGGTGTCCTCATTGCCGCCCCTCATCTCCAAAAACAGCCTCCTCTCCAATATCGGCCTCGGGGGCTATGCGCGACGGACGCTAGGCATCTGCCTGCTGATTGTCGTCGTCTTCCTCTGGACATTGTCCAACTTCCTAGCGAGCGTACGTGGCCCCCGCCTGCTCCTGCCCAGACAACCCCGCGTACTGACAGGACAATGCAGTTTATATTCTCCGACCACACGTACGATAAACCATTCTTCGTCGTTTACATCAATACATCGCTATTTGCCATATCCCTGATACCCATGTTCGTGCGCTACATGATGAGAAGCGGGTTGAGCGGGTTGCGCGGCGACCTTGTCCAGCTGTGGCACCAGCGCAACAACCACAGTGCGCACTTTAGCAAAATCAAGGACGAGGAGGAGCAAGACGCAGTCGACGGCGAAGGCTTGCTGACCAACCAAGACGAAGACGGCAACGTCCCGGGGCCGACCTCCAGGGACACGACACCCGACAAGCTCAGCTTCGCCGATACGGCCTACCTGAGTCTCGAGTTTTGCATGCTCTGGTTTCTCGCCAACTACTTCGCGTCGGCTTGTCTCGAGTACACAAGCGTAGCCAGTGTCACGATTCTCACCTCTACATCGAGCATCTGGACGCTCATATTCTGCGCGCTATTCAAGGTGGAGTCATTTTCGCTACGCAAGCTCTTTGGTGTCTTGGCATCACTCATTGGTATTGTCCTGATCTCGACTGTGGACCTCACCGGAAACAGCGATGAGAATCGGGGCTCTTTTCCGCACAAGACTACGGGCCAAATCGCGATTGGTGACGCGATGGCTCTGATCAGCGCTGTTGTGTACGGCATGTATGTCACGGTGATGAAGAGAAGAGTCGGTGACGAAGACAAGGTCGACATGAGGTTATTCTTTGGTCTAGTGGGCGTCTTCAATCTAATAATCCTGTGGCCGCTCTTCTTCGTTTTCCATTGGACTGGTATCGAGCCCGTAAGTTGCGCGACATGCCCAGTTGCATGGTGCCCGATGCTAACGCTCCATAGTTCCAACTACCACCTACTGGCAAGATTTGGGCTATTATTCTGGTATGTCTCCATGTTATATACCAACTTTATCTTACTAAACAGATTGCAGGCCAACTCAATCTCGTCTTTTATTAGCGACATTTTCTGGGCATTCGCCATGCTCTTAACCACACCTCTCGTTGTCACTGTCGGCTTATCGCTGACGATTCCCCTATCACTGATCGGCGAAATGATCCAATACGGCCAGTACTCTAGCTTTGTGTATTGGATCGGTGCCGCGGTTGTCTTCCTGTCTTTTGTGTTTGTCAGCAACGAGAGCCAGGGCGAGGAAATAGAGGAGCAAGAGATGAGGTAATTCAAGCATCAAGCATACAGAAATGAGCAACTCAGTGTATTTTTACTTGTTCATAGGGGATCGGATTGGTCATAGACGGCGTCTACCTAGGGATCACGGGGTTTACATGGTTGGCGTACAAAGCTGGTGTCTGTAATAGCGGCGCTTCATAGGAGAGCAGGCATCTCGCAGCGCTAGAGTTCCAACATCTAAAATTTGCAGGGATATGTTGCGACGGTATCATAAATGGAAATCCCTCCAACACCTTTCTCGCAATTTTCATCCACTACCTTGCTGCCACAGTCATCCAGGTACAATGGAATGTTTCTTTGTTTGTGTTCACAGTAAGGCTACTTCCAGTGCTGCGGAGTTGCCTGCAAAATAAAAGTACCGAAATCAGTGGGTCGATTTAGTGTGTGGGAGGAGGTTGAGCTTATCGATAAGTCGCCGATCCAGAAAATTTCAGAGAACTTGTGCTGGCGTCGACCACCAGCCGCAGCTTTTTTTTTCGATCCAGAAACACCAGCAGTCGACAAACTACAAGAACACAATGGGTCGTGAATTGCAAAAGAAGAAGCGCCGCTCCGGCCGCCAGCCGATCCGCCAGTCCAACAAGACAAAGAAGATTCTCAACCCGCGGGGCAACAACATCATTGCCGAGAACTGGTACGGGTTCTTCCTCTCCCCCGCCAAACCGCTGCCCAAATTTTCTTTTACTTTTTTTCCCACCCTCTTCTCTTCTCCTCACCAGGTGCTAACACAATTTTTTCCAAAAACAGGGATAAGAAAGCCACGCTGTCGCAAAACTACCGCCGTCTGGGTCTCGTATCCCGTCTGCGCGCGCCGACCGGCGGTGTCGAGGGGCGGCTGGACAGCAAGTCCTCGTCCGTCGCCGCCCTCCGAGCCGCCCACTCGGCCGCCGACGCCGCCTCCTCCTCCGTGTCGCCGTTTGCCATTGCCAGCACGTCCGAGGCCATCATCTCAGAAGCCCGCGTCGAGCGGGACGCGTCGGGCAAGATCACGCGCATTATCCGCCCCGGGGACAACAATCCGCTCGGGGACGCGCTCGCCCACCTCGACTCGGACGAGGAGGAGGAGGGCCAGCAGAAGCTCGTCGTGACGGAGCTCGAGGACGGCAGCTACCAGAAGAGCAGGAAGCAGAGGGAGGAGCGCGAGGAGTGGGGCGGCATCGTCGACACAGAGGACGCCGGCATGACGGACGTGGTCAGGGAGCTGGTGGAGCAGGCGAGGAACCCGGCGCCGAAAAAGGCGAGACATTTGAGCGAGAGGGAGGCCGAGTGGCTGGGACGGCTGGTCGCCAAGCATGGCGAGAATACACGCGCCATGGCGAGGGATGCCCGGCTCAACCCGATGCAGCAGACGGCCGCGGACCTTGCGCGCAGGCTGAAGAAGCTGAATGCATAAAGAGAGAGGTTCATGTCTTACTGGAGGGAACATCCGGGTATTAACCCCGTACTCGGGCCATCGTATGAAAAGCAGGCGTTTACAGGGCGTTTTTGCATCATTTCTGCATTCGAATTTGGGGAAACAAGTACATCATTAAATACACTTGGTCACAATCACAAATGTCAGGATAAAGTCACCCGGATCTGCATGTTCTTCTAGAGTCAGAAAGAGTGCAAATGTCCAGTCCTATTCCAAAGAGTCCTATGTACCGTCCGCCATACAGACCGGAGTTGGTATCTCTTACATGTATTGACAAGGCAGTACCCATCCTATCCAAACAGTAAGCTTGGGTCAATGACATCCCACCTAGTCCCTGTAAAACGCCGCTCAAAAGTGCAAATGCTCTCGTTTCCGTCCCGTCGTACCAGAGCTGTAAAAGCCTACACACCAGAGTGTGTGCTTTTCATGACAGCAAGCCAGGCCTTTGAATGCAGCTTGTAGGTAAATTACCGATCTACACGACCGTAGTCGGCCTTGGGGAACTGAACTGGGGTGTCGTCAACGGCAGGTGGGCGGTAGGGCATGGCGACGGGCAGTACCGGAGGCGGGGAGCCGGCACCGCCGCCAGAGTGATACTGAGTCTCACTATCAAAAAACGCGCCGGCCGTGGTACGCGGGGGCAGGGCGCCGTAGCGGTTGGGATCCTGTTCGTCGTAGTGCCCGCCGCTGTATGGGTTGGGGATAGGGTCGGTGCCGTAGCGGTTGCTGTAGCTGCCGGCGGCGCCGCTGGGGCCGTCTTCGTGGTCATCCATGTGAACGCGCTCATACGCTTCGTCGCCATGGGGCGCCATGGAAAAGGCCTCCTTATCGGGGTCAATATCGTTGCTGCCGCCGCGAATCTTGCGGTTGCTGTAGCCCGGCAGGCTGCCATGAAAGCTATAGTAGCTCATGGTGTAGCCGCTAAGAAAGGTGCTGCCACCAAAGAGGAGGCTATGAGCAGGTCAGCGTGTGTAAATGTAGGGAAGGGTAGCTTGCAGACGGGGGGCGGCGACGCACGTGATGATGACGCCGAGGGCAACGACACCCTTGCTGATGCTGCAGCGGTTGCCACACAGGCCGGACGAGTTGTAGGCGGCCTGGGTCGCAAAGGCCGAGAGCCAGAGGATGACGCCAAAGAGGTCGACGGCGAGCATGGCGTGGACATTGGCGAAGCGCCGCGTGCGCTCAAAGCGCGGCGTCATGATGAGGTAGACCCATAGGGGTATGGAGATGAAGAACTGTAGCCGAGCAAAAATTAGCAGGCATGTCGGCTGGAGACTGAAATGTATGTGGTGTTGGGCTTACGGCGGCAAACGTCCAGCCATTGTTCCCGACAACCTTGGAGCCCTTGCCGGTGAAGACGACAATCTCGAGCACCCAGAGGACAAAGCTCAGGACAATCTGAGCAATGTGGAGGCCGAGCTTGATGGTCGGGACGCGATCTGGGTCAAACTCGATCATGGTGCTGGTGGTGCAAAAAACGGGTGGAAGGGCGACACAATGTACCGTCTGTCCAACGTTCCCAAGTAAACAAAATTATGTCGGCAGTGATGGGCCAATGCTTTGCCAGGCGTCACTGCGACTTATTGCTTTTTCCTTCGTCACTGTGTGGGATATAAAGGTTCGTATCTAGATCGGCGCTAATCGAGGCGAACGTGTTGCAGGAGGTATATGGTGGCGGCGATGTCGTCCGCTAATAAGACAGCTCTTCGAGGATGGAGTTGGCAGAGCGGGAGGGATGATTAAAAATATAGCCGTGATGGTAGGACGGTAAGGGGACGGAAGCGAGAGCAAGAATTCGAAGAAGGGCGACTTTGATCTGGTGTGACGAAGAAGGAGAAGGAGGCCAGGGATGAGGAAGAAACAGAGACAGAGAAAATAAGAAGAAAGAAAGAAGCCTGCGGGAGCTTAGCTTGCCGTGTCAGCCCAAGCCGAGCCAGCCAGTCAGTTGGCTGTGCGACAAGGCGGACCCCGGTTGCGCTCACAAAGCACTTTGTTACTGAGACTGACCTATAAAAAGACACAGGAAAAAGGACGACGTTGCCGCGGCCACGCAGGGTTCCACAGGGGTCAGCCTTGACTTACCTACCTATGTACATAACTACATAACTACCTAATTGTTACTACCTACTACGCACATGTCGCAATTGCTGCAAATGAACAACTTCCTCAAGAATTCAATAAAAACCTTCAACTCGGGCACATACGTCCTGGCTTATCAAACCCCCTCTACCGCGCAAGGACTTACGTACTGCCTTGTACCAGTGGGTGACGACATCTTGTCGCCCTGCTCCAGCGTGTTCAAGCCGCCATCCCCACTGCAGCGCTCAGCCACTGCTGCTGCGCCTCGACTGGACGCCTCAATCGCCGTCCAGACCCATCGCGATTGGCTTCTTGCAACGTCTGCATGTCTTGTATGTATTGTCTCATTGTCTCATGCGTACATGCGTCTAAAAGCAACCCGCAACATGCATACTTTATCCGTCTTCACGCGTCCTTTGTCACAGGCTCCCGAACAACTTGATCTTTCTTCCATCATCTGCTATCACCCTCGTGCATAGCCACAGCCCATCGCCAAGCATCTGCAACCGCATCCTCCACCATGCAAACGTCTACCATATACGGGTATCATAAATCTTGGCGGTTGCTTTCCCTGCACGCCACGAAACGTGTCGCCTTATGTACACTCCCCTTGTTCAATGATGCATCCATTACGCGCCCACATCACGCCACGCTCACAGGGCCGCCATGATGCCAAACACCACGGCCAGCACGCCCGCGCTCCAGCTCACCACCATCGCGCTGCCGCTGTCCTTGGGCGTCTTGGTCGCCGCCGTCGTCGTTCCTGATCCGTCCGTGGCCGCACCACCCGACGAGCCAGCCGCTTCCGAACTCGTCTGCGTCGTCTCCTCGGCTCTCGTCGTCGTGTCCGTAGAGGACAAGTCGTCCGCGGTACTGCTAAACACCGGCGTCGTGGGCAGCGGCGTCCCCTCCGATGTCGCCGTGGTCGTCGCCGTCCAGACCCCGCCCACGTCGGTCCGGTGCTGCGTGCACACGCTCTGCGCATAGTCGCACGCCGCGCCCGGCTGGCAGCACACCGTGACGCTGCTGCTGCTCCCAAACGTGCAAAACAGCGTCGCGCCCGCGCAGGCGTCGGCGCAAACGCCCACGCCCTGACTCTGCGCGCACTGGGCGCCCCGCGGGCAGCAACCGTTGCCGTCGCCGCACGCCGTCTTGCCCTCGCTGCACTCGTCTTGTTGCGCTCGCCGGTCTCGTGACAATGTCGCGGCGGGCGTGACCTTGGCTTCTCGGGCCTGTATTAGCACCGACTTGCAAAGGGCCGTCGGCGCCAAAAGCGACATGGTGGCTGTGGCGAGCTTCATGATGCGCGCGCACGTGTGTGTGCGTGTGGTTGTGGATAAGCTGAAGGGAGCGAAATCGCAACAATTGACTGTGTTGACTTAATGTTCAAAAGGGACTCGGTTTCAGAAAATCTGGCGATGAGCCGTAGTTATGTCTACTATTCCACACAACGCGAGGCTGAAAGGGATGCGCGCCAATGACGAAGTTGGTGAGCGCTATGCCAGACCGGGCAACGGCCGGCTCTAATTCAGCAAAGCCACCGGCCCTCCAAGGCCGCACTAGGCACACTGCGCCCGCACCGCGATGACCCATTAGTTGATGTGGGAGCTGATCTCTTCGTGGTGAAACGTATGACAAGCACTGACTCCAGTTTTCATTGTGCAACCATTGGAAAAGGCCGTTGTGGCATGTTTTTATGTACAGTCTACTATACCCTAGCCGTAAACCCATCTTGGGATAAGCGAACAACGCCGTTGTTGATAAGACAAAGCCAGAAGAAAAGAAAACAACCGCCCAAGAAAAATGGAATGTCTTTCCCCGAACCGCACTACTTCTACCTTCTCGATAGGTTGTTGTGGAGCTTGTGCTCGCGCATCAGGGCAATCGTCAACGTCGCCGCTATGGCTAGGCCAAGCATGGTGAGTGAAACGCTGTGAAAGGCGTCGACAAAGGACTGGATGACGCCGTCGTGCCAGCCAGGCGGCAGACGCTTGAGCTCGTCGAGGCTCTCCCTGATGCGGCGAATCTCGTCGACGGCGCCGGGCCGGTCGCCGAAGCGCGCCCACAGCCTGGCCTGCAGGACGTTTTGGTAGACGGCGGAGCCGACAGTGACGCCGAGGGTTGAGCCGATGCTGCGGGCCATGTAGGTGCCGCTGGTGACGACGGCCTGGTGGGCGTGGTCGACGGCGGCAATGGCGGCGAGCAGGGTGACGGTGAGCATGGCGCCGTAGCCGGCGCCCGAGAGGAAGAAGCTGACGCTGAAAAGCCGGACGGGGGTGGTGGCGTCGAGCAGCGCAAAGAGGACGACGCCGACGGTGACGGTCAGCGTGCAGGTGACGCCCATGGCCCAGTAGCGGCCGGTGCGCTTCATGACGAGCCCCGCGGTGACGGAGCCGATCGAGGCGCCGACGGACGAGGGCAGCAGCTGCAGGCCGGCCGTGGTGGCGGTGCTGCCGAGAATCTGCAGAAACAGCGGCCCGTAAAAGAGACCCATCATGATGAGCATGGTGACGAGAAAGTTGGTGGCGCACGCGGCGAGCACGGTGCGGTCAGCGAGCAGCCGCACGGGGATGACGGGCTGGCGTGCGACGCTGCCCTCCCACCACAGGAAGACGGCGAAGAGGACGAGGGCGACGGAGATGGTGGCGAGCGGCAGCGGGTGCGTCCACGGCACCAGGTTGCCGCCGGCGTTGAGCCCGAGCAGCATGAGCACAAGAAACGAGACGGTGAGCAGGACGCCGCCAAAGTCGATGCGGGCGAGCCGGGTCTTGTCGCTCTGCTTGGGCTGCACGTCGACCATGAGGTACACGACGAGGGCGGAGACGAGCACGGGCGGGACCTGGACCAGAAACGCCAGGCGCCAGCCCATGCGGGTGTGGTCCTGGATCAGGCCGCCAAAGACGCCGCCGAGCATGGCGCCGGAGCCGTACGCGAGGTTGCCGAGGCCCTGGACGATGCCGCGGCGGCGCAGCGGGACCAGGTCGGAGGCGAGAAAGGTCGAGATGCTCATGAGCCCGCCGCCGCCGATGCCGGCGACGACGCGGCCGGCGATGAGCGTGGCCGGGTCGCGGGCCAGGCCGCACAGCAGGTTGCCGGCGGCGAAGAAGAGGTTGCTCAGGACGAGGCCCGGGCCGCGGCCGAAAATATCCGTCAGCCGGCCCGAGATGGGCTGGCAGGCGGCATTGGCGATGAAGTAGGCCGACGCGAGCCAGGACAGCAGGCTGAGGGAGTGGAAGTCGCTGGCGATGGGGCCGGAGAGCGTAGCGATGATGGTGGAGTCGACGGCGCCGAGGAAGACGCCGACCCAGGCGGAGCCCATGATGAGGAACAGCCGCAGCGTCGAGATTTCCTCGGCGATGACGGTCAGCTCGTCATCCTCGTCGGTGGCGGCGTCATGGCCATGTTGTGTCGCGTCGTGGCACGGTTGGGGTTGAGGTGTGCCGGGTGGTGAGGCTGCGCGCAGCAGCGGCCTGCTTTCGGTGGTGCTGTTGTCGTGGGGGGGTTGCGCAGCCTCTTGGTCGTCGTCTGCGTGCGCCGATGGCTGCATGCTGGGCTGTCTCGCCATGGGGGCAAAAGCCAGCAGCGTCGACGTCCTCACAAAAGGGAACAACTGTCGAAAATTTCGTAAAGAGCAATGGTAGAGAAGAAGGGAAAGAAATTTGCACAAGACTTGTGCAAACGGAATCTCTGAACCTTGGTGGACGCTAGCCTGCCGGCCGGAATAGCGCTCCCTGGTGCTTGTTTCCAGGCGCGGGCTACCTAAAAGACGCTGACGACGAGTTCCCCACAGGGCGCGCCCGTGCTTCTTTCGGCCGAGAAGTTGATGGTGAGGAACAAGAGCGAGATGAAGAACGAGAAGCGGCGCAAAAGATACTTTTAAGAGATGGGAGGGGTTTGAATATACATATTGACGAGCAGCTAAGGAGAACAAAGATGAACAAAAATGAACATGAAAAAAAAATCGAAAAAATCGAAATGATACCATCCTAGGGCCCGCGGTTTATTATCACACACGTTGGGGGAACGAGCAAATTCGCTGGCGGTTTAGTTAGAGTGATGGATGGCCGACGATCCACTGCTCGCTCAACCACCATTCCCAAAGGGGCTGTCGATGCCGCCCGCCCGCGACGCCGCATCGTGGTCCGCCCGCGGCTTGGGTTCCCCGAGGGGTTGCGAAACGGGCTGATTGAATAGGGGAATAGGTAGGGCCGCACAACGGGAAGCCTCGTTCGTTGCCTTGGTGCTCGTTTCAACCACTTTGTTGCAAGTATTGAACCGCGCCAGAACCGAGCCATGCGGACTTGGGGGATGTAAGAATGGCCATGTAATTCGCAGACCGTCCCCTTTCTTTTTTTTGTTCCTCTACATGCAATAGGCCGGTCTCTATCATGGACCGTTGCGGCTACTCGCAAACCCGGTGTCAGCCCGCAACCACAGGGCATCACGGACCGATTCGTCCATTGTTCGGTTTGTTTCACCCAGCGAGAGACCGGATAAGAAGCTGCCCAGAAAGACGAGTTTGCCGTCGCGATTGGTGCAAAAGCGGGCAAGCGTCTCGTCTCAGCCCAGCCAATAACACAACTTATCTGCTGGGCACCCGGGTTACCATGTTGAAGCTGCCAGGACGCGTGGCAACGCCTTCTCACTGACTTGTTGGAATGCCGGTTTGACAAAGAGGCGAAGAACTGCAATACCGTCTACAATGCTAGAATAGGAGTGTAGTCATGTACGGGTACGAGTCTCGCGGAAAAAAGGCAATGTAAATGCATGTCTCGGTTCCAGATTGCGTGGAGTCGTCCTCAGCCCGCAGCCTCAAATGCAAGTCTTTTTTGCCCATGTTCATGCAACGCAAAGTACAATTTTTGTCTCGAATAGACTAGCCCATCCCAGTACAGTGGAAAGACATGTCGATCCCCTTTTGCAATATCCTCCTCGTCCTTGCCCTCCCACAGTAACCAACTAGCCCCGTGTAAGCCGATCATCTTTCGGTAACTACGGGCCAGCTCTTGCTTTGTACAACCCACTGCCGCCCGCTCCTGGATATTTCTCCCACCACGACTCGAGAACATGCTTGTCCCTGACCGCTCTTGCCTGCCGCCTCGCCGGCGTCGTTGCTGATGCGGACATGAACGGCAAAGGGGCGGTCTGGCCGGCTCGGAAGTCTCTGTTGCTGCTAGTTAGATCACGGCGCGAAGACGGCATATGCCAGCACATACAGCCTCCGAGGCTGATCGAGTTTCGGCGGCCGCGGTGCCAAGCCGATGCACCGAGTCATTGACGAACCATGAAAACTTCAACAAATTCAAGGCTACCTACATCGAGATTGCAATTCACTCCTTGCATATCGAGCGACACTTGATGGCGGAAGCTAAACGATACGCCGTCCAGTACAGTGATCGCTGGTGGTCAGAGTGACCTGACAGAATAGGGTATGATATACTTTGTCCACGTTGCGCGTCGCAGCCGGACAACGGGTTTCTTTTTCCAGTCTCGGAACGCCCAGCCAATATAATTTTTCAGCTCCCCTCACCGCATGCGACTTGGCAGTATCAAACGGTCTGTACTTGATTCCGACACCTCGACGAGATCGCCAATGCGCATACACACCCTGCCTCAATGGATAGCTGCGGTATGCATGCTTCCCCCTATACCTTGAACTTTCTTGGGTCCAGATTGTCGATATTCGCGCTCCTGGCCTCGCCGTCCAACACAATCTCCGACACGAGCTTTCCCGTCGCCGGCGCGTTCTGGATGCCCCAGCACGTGTGGCCCGACGCGACGTAGAGGCCCGACACCGTCGTCTTGCCAATCAGCGGGCCGCTCTCCTGCCCGAAGCGCATGTGCCGCGGGAGGTAGCATGCCTGCCTAGCCTTGACGGGCGCGGCGCCGAGCACACGGCTAAAGGTGCCAATGTAAGCTGCGAGGTCCTCGCAGAGGTCCTCGTCGTGGCGCACGTCGTCGACCACGTCGGGCAGCGGGACAAGCGTGTCGGGTTCACCTGTACATTTCATAGCGGTTGTCAGTTTCAACGCACCGGCCGCAGCTATGATGGAGGAAGGGCGGGGGAAAAGGGAGCTTACCGCAAGCGTAGGCCTCGTTAAACGGGCGCGCGTAAATCTCGGGGTCAACTCGGCCCTTGTGCATGCGCTTCTGCCCTTTGGCGGCGCGGTGCGCCGGCACGAAGCTCCGGGGCAGCTCAACGTCGGTAAAGACGGCAAAGGGGCTGAGGTCCGCCTCATAGACGACGCTGTGCGCGCGCAGGCCGTCGATCTTGGACCGCGGCAGCAGCCTGCCTGTCCACGGCCCGGCAGCCACGACGAGGTCAGTAACACCGTCCAGCGCCCGCGTCTCCCCAGTCGTGCGGTCCTTGTACTCGACGCCGTGCACTTTTTCCCCCGTCGTCTTGATGGCCGTGACCTGCGCCTTGGTACGCGTTGTGACGCCTGCCGCGGCCGCGAGACTGGCCATGGCCAGGGTGAAGTGGTGCGGGTGCACCTGCGCCGTGTCGGCGCCGCGCGCCATCTCCGCCCAGTCGAGGACGACGTCGCCGTCGACCCAGTCGAGCGCGTCCGGCAGGGGCGCATCCTCGAGCCGGTTTTGCGCGGCCGTGTCCTGCTTTGGCAGCTTGTCCCATGACTTGCCGCCCTCCTCACCGGCGGCCGCGCGCTGCATCGCGGATACCTTGCTCTCGGGCACCGAGGCCGAGATGCTCCCGCACTGGACCTTGCGGTAGCCCCATCTCGCGGGCCCGTCGTGCTCGGCGGCGAGCTCGGCGTGGAGCCGAAACGACAGTGGCACAAGGCACGCCGGGTAGGCCCAGAGCGCGAGCAAGCCGCCGGACTTGCCGGACGCGCCCGTGGCAATGGCGGAGCCGGCTTCGAGGATGGTGATGGTGTGCAGGGTGGGGTTGAACTTGGGATGGCGCGTGAGGAAGTAGGCGGTGGTGTTGCCGATGATACCGCCGCCTGCACAAACAGTATCAGCAAGTGGCGCTTAGTGCGGGCGGCGGTGACTGACCGATAATGACAATGTTGCGCTTCCCGTCCATTTTGAAAGTCTTGTTGAGAAATTGAGGAGGGTCTAGCAGATACTGGCACTGGGAAGGGTTACATGTACCAGACTCTGGAACGAGACGTCGTCATGTTGAAAAAGTTGAAGTTGTCTTGAGATCGATCGGCCAGCCCAGTTTGCTAGTGTATGACTGTTAGAGACTGTGCGAAGATAAAGATGATCTATTCTTAGGCTATACGCTATATAGCCCTATCTATCTAACTAGGCCACTAGGCTCTAGAATAGCTACACACTATAGGTACTACTATCTAGATATTAATATCCTTATTAGATATAAAGTAATTTATTCTTTTATCTATCTAAATTTAAATATAACTCTTATAAATAACTATTATATTTTAGTTAATCTCTTATTAAATAATTATAACCTATTTTATTATCTTTTTATAGTCTATAGCTTTTAATTATATTCTTTTTAGCTAATAACTTCTAAATTAAAAAAAAAGAATACTATTTTATTATATTCTTTATAGTAAATTATTATAGCTTTATTTATTCTTAATATATTATTATTTTATATATTAAGCCTAGTCTTTTAAAATTATTAAGTATTATAACTATTTCTTTATTTCTTAATTTATTTTATAGGCTTTATATTAGCTATCTAATAAAATAGCTAAAATTATAATAATTAGCCTTTTAAGTAGCTTAATATATTATTATTAATTTTTTTTATAATATAATAAATATTTAAATAGTATATTTATTTATATATTAATAAAGAAAAAAAACTATAATATTATAGCTATATTTATAATTAACTTTTTAGCTTTTTATAAATTTAGTTATATATTAAGGTATATAAGATGCTTAAGTGGAAGGAATGGAAGGTCTATTGAATACGAGTTGCAAGTAGGAAAAGTAGATTAAATAGGTAAAAGAAGAAGGAAGAAGAATTATAGTATTAATAACTATAAAGATTATATATAAATTGTATAGAGGGATTACCGTGCTTTATAGCTAGAGACTGTGGAGACCTTTCTTCTACTTCTAAATAACTGCTAAATACTCTAATATAGGGCTAACATAGGTATTCCAAAGCATCCGAAAGGAGGCGTTAAAGGTATTCTAGAGTATTTAAGAGTTATATAACTTCCTTATATCTTATGCAATAGTTATCTAAATTGTGTAAAAGTGGGTCCATTATAATAGGAAAGATTAGGGCATTTTTATAGTATATATAATTATACTATTATCCCTTATATTATCTCTATAATCTTTTATAATTTACTATAATTTTTTAAGATTACTTATTATAATATTAAGAGTAGTACTATTAGTATAAGAGCTTTTTACTAAAGGTATAAGCCTTATATAATAGGGAACTTATAAGGTACTATAGTTAGTTAGTATAATACTAGGAGACTTAAGTACCTACTAAGTACTACTAAATTTAGTATTTTAAAGACTATTATAGCTATATAAAAACGCGATTAATATATATATCTTAATAGCTATAAAAGGGCGTTTTTTTAAGCGAATTAGTAACTATTAAGAGGCTTTAAGACCCTTACTAGCAGCAGCGGTAGCGCGACTAGCAATAGTGCTAGTAATAGTAATAGTGCTAGTATTAGTAGGGAGAGTAGAGTAGGCTGTAGCCATGGCGGGGATAGAATATATTAGGTAGTTGAAAATATACTTCTATTTATATATAGCATCCACTATAATCTATATACCTTCACAAAATACACTAGTACTAGTAGTGTTATATAAGGCTTATACCCTTAGTAAAAAGCTCTTATACTAATAGCACTACTTAATATTAAAAGGTAAAGTCTGCTAGTTTTTACTACTAAATTAAATAGTAAATATTGCTACCTTTAGTAGGGAAAACTAGTAGGGTAGCTCTTTTTCTAATAGAAATATTCATATAACAAACGCTACTATAGGGGGGTATAGGAATATAATAATATAGAAGAGTAGATACCTAGTATAGTGTTAAGGGCTAGGCTACCAAGCCTGCCCTGGTCCTTCCAGAGTGGCCAGCGCGGAGCCCCTAAAGGGGGCCCTTATAGGGTGGATATACCTTACCTAAGGGTACCTTAGTAAGTTCGGCTAAGGGTGGCATCCCTTAGATAAGGTAGCCCCATTTCTTTTAAATATATACAATATAACTAACCCTAACCCTAACTAACTATTATTATATACTATTAACCCTAAGTAACTACTAGCCTAAATACCTAACTACTAACCTAACTACTAACCTAACTACTAACCTAACTACTAACTTAACTAGATTAGTTATAAACCGATTAGTAATTAGTTATAAACCGATTAGGAATTGGTTATATACTGATTGACCTTTATATAGTGTATATTAGAAATTAGTGGGGCAACGTTAGCTAAGGGATGCTACCCTTAGCCGAACTCACTAAGGTACCCTTAGGTGAGATACTGCCTGCCTTATAGGTGCAACTAGGCAACAATCGGTCAGTATTGTTGTTACGAATCCTTTTGCCTTCCTTAGTCAAGTGGGTAAGAGGGTTGTGCGCCGTAAGGCCCACTGATGGCAGAAGTGCTGGTTGCTACTGGAGCCCTCCAGGCCAGTCCATCACATATAGTAAGAATAAAGAATAAGCTATAGGGTTTAGCCTAATTAGGATAATAGGTTATATAACCTAGGATAAGTAATCAATAGATTACTTATTAATTAAGATAATTAAGAATTAATAGATAAGTAAAGAATTAGAAGAATTATTTCTTATTTCAGAGAAATGAATCATTACCTCTCTTTTATAAATACTAACTATTTCTACTTTAACTAATATCTACTATATATATAAATATATTATAATTTACTTAGTTATTTAGCTTATTAGGACTATTAAATAAAGTAAATAGTAATAACTTATTATCTATATAATCTATTTATTCCTTTAATTATTTACTAAACTTATACTAACTAAAAATTTACTAGTCTATATATTACTACTATTAGTATATTCTATTCTTTTATATTATTAGTCTTATATTAATAAGTAAATAAGTAGTTATTATAACTTATAAAGGCTTTAGAAGATAATAGAAAGTTCTAATTTTTAATAAAGTAGAATTAAGGTATATTTAAATATAATAAAGTAATATAATAATATTAATTTAATTCCTAATACTTAAGATAATAACTAATAAATGCTGTCTTTCCTTAATAGCTAGGATTAATAGGTCTATATCCCTTAAAAGTAGGTCTTCTACCTACGCGCTAGCTAATAAGGGGCTAGCTTCGAGTTGCCTGCTTTCGCAGGGTCAACAAAATGTATTTACTAGCATTCATTATAAGAAATAATAGTTCAACCCCTAACAGTTATTGGTTGCGTACCTAGGTAGGCTACCGACGATAAATTTTTTATGGGAAATCTTTTGGCGCTTGCATGGCATGGATGGGCCGACGAATAGCAGATTGTCGCAGCGCTATAAAAATAATGCTGTGATCCTGAGTTCGACTCGAATTACTTATAAATCTAAAATTCGGTCTAATTGTATAATTTTCACATACGCCCTACGCTAAAATAACGCCCCCCTAGTCACTAAAGTACCTTTTCAACCAGGGTTAGAACCAGGTCGAACTAGGGTATAGAGAGCTAATTAGAGCGCTATTATCAGGCCTTCTTTCCCTGAAAAAGTTGAGTCAATTGGGCTGCAGAAATCTGTAAGCCAACTTATAGATTTCTCAATTCTATAATACTTCTATTAGGCCCTATAGCAGACGCTAGCGTTAAGGTACCGACGTCAACTCACTCATAAAACTCAGGATCAGGGCATTATTAATATAGAGTATAAAGTAAATGTTTGTAAATCGATTGATACTAATATATAGATGCATAACACGAGATCCGTAAGTGCTATATCTAAGTATAGTAGATCCTTTTCCTATAAAGGTTTATATGTGAGCGTTTTACCTGTATAATAGGAACGGTGAGTCTGCTACCTTGAAGAAAGGTTACCGCGTTGGGACACTGCCGGTCGCTGTATGCTAGGTGCTGAAAGCATTATGATCAAGTTCTGACAATGCCAAGCTTCAGAGGCAGCCTGGGGTAGACGCACATTCTTAGGATTGGATCTCAATGGCTACTATTTACAGCCAAAACCCGCTATGCTAAGGAACTGTTATTGACCGGCCTTTGCGCCTTGCTCTAGCTGTAAAGTAAAGTACTTTTATTTTGACTAAACTGGGGGTACTTTATCGCAGTGCCTTTATGCGCAGCAATAGTCCTATTGTTGGATCAAAGGTGTATTCGAATACAATAAAACAGCAATAATAAGATCAATTTGGTTCCTGATGATTGAGATAACTAACTGTCAAACGCTGCCTTCCTCGATGGCTGGAAGTCAAGGAAGACCCACGAAGTGGGTCTTCCACCCAGAACTGGCCAATCAGAGGCCAGCGTCGAGTTGGCTGCTTCAACACTCGCACTTTCTCTCTTTGTGGCTTCGCAAGCAGGCCCAATTCGCTCAAAAACGCAATAAAATCCATTCTACTTGATGTTGTCAGCACCGGAGCCTTGTTCTTCCGTTCCGGATCAATTTTCAGCTAACCAGAGCCCTCTTTTCTCTCGCGTATACGACCTCTCGGCTGGAGGGGAGGATCATGACCACTGTGATTGCGATTGAGTGGCTGTTGACAATCTGACGGATGTTGATAATCGTTTTATCCATCGTTCCTCCAGAAGCTTTCAACTTGTTGATGATTGTCATGTCCCTCGTCCCTCTGGAAGCTTTCAAACTTGTTGATGATTAGCCCCTTCTTTATCCTCTTCTTCTTCTTCTCGGCCGGTTCTTATTATCGATGGTTGATGTCAACGAGCGGCAGGAATCGGGCTCGTTTGGTTGATGGTTGATCCTTCCAGGAAGGTCCTGGTTAAGTGCAGGTGGCTTCGTTCAGCGACAAGCACTCCAATCAGGTCCTTCGAAGGAAGTTTTCTCGTGATGTTTGGTCCTTCTGGAAAGGTCCTAGGTCAAGTGCAGGTGGCTGCTTCGGCGACAGGCACTTCAATCAGTCCCTTCAAAGGTTCGTTTTCTCGTGATGGACGATGCGGCAAGAGATCTCCGTAGGCCGCAGCAAACGGCGATCTTTTGCCTTAGGTAGCACGGAGGAATAGTAATCAGTCTGTCTCTTCTTTCATCCTAAGGTTTGACAACCACTGATCAGTGTTGGATCAAAGGTGTATTCGAATACAATAAAACAGCAATAATAACTTCGAATACGATAAAGCAATAATAACGTCAATTTGGTTCCTGATGATTGAGATAACTAACTGTCAAACGCTGCCTTCCTCGATGGCTGGAATCAAGGAAGACCCACGAAGTGGGTCTTCCACCCAGCACTGGCCAATCAGAGGCCAGCGTCGAGTTGGCTGCTTGCGGTTCAACACCTATAATCTACCCAAAGAGCAACTTATCCAAGAGCTCATTCGAGAAGAGCTTGCGTCTGTCTTCCTCCGCCCATCCATGCTCATGCTCAATCTTTTTCAGGGCATTCTTAAATTCGATGATTTCATTCGTATAACTTTTCGATCGGAGATGATCCATCCAGGGCTTTCCGTCCACCTTATACTGCTGCCTGTAATGCCAAAGAGGTTAATAATGCGACAAGTGTTGAGGGGGTGCAGAGCCAGATCGAAGGCGTCTTACCATTCCTTAGCCCAGTGCGGTCTAATATTCAGGTCTTTCCACGAGTTGTCATGATTCTTCAGCGCCATCCAACGGTCAAGTATCTTCTGGGCAAACTGCTCCCATTCGTCCGCCATGTATAGCGGGGTCAGTACTTCAATCGAGCAAGTTCCGAGCTTGTTACCCCTCTGCGGTGCCATGATTACGTCGCTGCCTCCCATAATCCGCATCTCGAGCGGCATGCGCATAGGGCACGTTTTCATTGTCTCGGGTTTATATACCTCAAGAATAGCCTGCCACCAGGCTCTTCGAGCAATATCCAGGTTGGGTTTGCTGGCATCGTCGGGCTTAGCTGGAAGCTATTCGCACTCTCAGTTAACAACGCCAGACGGTCGAAACACAACAGAAGACCATGGGTTATCTAAGAGAATTTGCTTCGTGTTAACTTACGGGTATTTCCACCTCTAGATCCCTGACCCGGAAATTCTGAATTCCGCGGCGAAAGTGGAGCGCATCAGAGAGTGGTGTGAGAATGTGGCTGTCCAAATTGTTCGTTGGCGGAAGCACATTCATCGCCGTGGTAGCTAGTGCCTATTAGTCAAAACTTTTGCGTACGGGAAAGAGATTATGAGCAAGAGGAAGTTCTGCGGGTGCTGGGGTTGAGAAAACTTCACTTACACAGCCAAGTGGTCGCCTTTACTGCGTCCTCATCTGTGGCTCTGGGTGCGCTTTCATGGGCCCACTCGATCGCAAAGCTCTTAACGGCTTGGTCTTGAATCTCTGTGTCCGAAGGATATGGCTTAGCCTTCTTCATCTCGGCATCTTCAGTGGTCAGACGCCACGTATTGACCCAGACTTGTTCGTGGAGCGGAAACCAGAACCACTCAGCATAGTAATCTTCAAGAGCGCGTTTCTCAAAGTCATTGACCAATTTTTGAAGTTTGGGCTTTAGTGTTTCATACTTTTTCTTGAGAGTGGCAGGAAGGTCGGATGCCATGTCGTCAGGTGGTGGAATGGCTTCCAGGATGTGCATTTTCTTGGGCTCCAGTTTAGCGACTGACATCTTCTCTAGCCGGAGAGTCAAGTGGGTGACAACACCGAGCAGTCCAAAGCAGCCACTCGCAGCTGCGAGCATGTCATTGCCGTTTGCTGATTTATCGATCCTCTTGCTCTCGCCGTTTGCATCAACATACTCGATCCCTTCGACTAAATCGCTGAGGGTCTTCAACTTGTGTCCTGCGCCGTGACTATTCGCCCACGTTAGTAGCTTTCGCCATTATATTGTCAAGCATAATGAAAAGACTGGAGGGAACAAACGAACCAAATTGGGGCATTACTCCCACCGAATGTGATCTCTACCATAATCACATTGAGCGGCAACGTCCACTTTTTGTTCTGCAGGCACCATCTCCTGAAGTCCTCGTTGGTCGTTGCACAGCCCACGCGGACGAGACCTGGATGGTCCGGCACCTCTTTGATCTCATTCAGCTCCGTTTTAATAGAAGCGTAGTAGCCCTCAGCCTCTTTGTTTCGGAGATCCTGATCGAAGTCAAAAACTCCCTGTCCCTTCTTCGGCCCTTGAAGGATGGCTCGATCAAGCGGTAACGTAGATATGAGGATGAATGGGTGACTCTTATCGGCATTCTCACGTCCAAAGATGGAAGACCACGAATGACCTTTCAATATGTTAGTTAATGGTCGAGGTTGCTTAGTTGGATGAGAATCTCCCATCTTAAGAGCCAGAAACAGCACGAAAGGTAGACTTACGATATCCGGCGACTCGAACGCCATAGTTGTGAGCTTTGGCATACTTGACAACCATTTGAACGCCGCGAACAGTTCCAGGAATGCAAGTCAAGTGGGGAGAGTTCTCAACAGTCTTGCCCCAGTTTTGAAAGCTCAACCCTTCGAAGCACTATTCGTAGTTGCCTATTGTCAATATCATATCATTGCAGCTTGGATTTTCAGTACGAGAGAAGTGCTTGAGGAACCTACTGGCACTAGAGTATTGCTGCCCGGGTCATGGAGCATGAGATCGACCGGTTTGGCACCTGATTCCGTAACATTTGCGCCTGCACCCAGGAGCTCGAGACTCTGCTGGTAACCGACAGACGTGGGTAGGCGGCATGGAACATCTGTAGCTAATTCATGTAGACAGCGACCTTCCGCAAAGGTAAGCAGCATTCTCTGTTGATCGACCGAGTATCTCTTAAGGACATTCTCAAAGAGCTCCTTGTCGTGCTTCCGAGCCAAATTCATGAACTCGCGAAGGCCATTCTCGTTGGAAATGTCAAGGCCGTTTACCCTCTGAAGGATTGTATCGATGGGATTGGTCTTGGCAGCCATAATGATATGTTGCAAAGCAGATTTGAAGAATAGGAACGTTTGTTATCTGAGTGTTGAGGTGAAAATGAAAGGACATTAGAACTACTACCTGAGGGCGCGCGCTTGATTTAAGTACTCAATACAGCAGAGCTCTCGGTGTCAGGTGACGAGGAAGGAGCTCTCACCGTTGCACCCAAGAGTGGCCTGTACTGATGCTAGAAACGTGACGCAAGGCCTGAGATGGATGTCTTCTAAACGCTCACCAGCATGGCGAGCCTAGCGTCACAAATCTTCGAATGAAAAATATAAGCATCATGCAACCCCAATGTAGCTATCCGTTCGTATGTCAGGTATCAATGTTCCCCTAGGAGGGATTCCTGCGCCTAACGGAACTGCGTGGCTGGCTGAGCTGCACCTGGGGTGATCACTCACTGCTTGATTTAAATGGCAGTGGATGCGTTTTTCCTTGATCCTAACTCAACCAAATGACATGTCCCTAAATTGCTAGTCAGGTAGAACCTCGTGTTTTTCAGCTAGCCACAATGTCTAATCATTACGAATGCAATAGTAGCGCTGAGCTAGAACTGCTATGGCCATGTTCTACGTTCTTGCTGTGTACGGGTCGATTTACTGCACATGCCCGAGTTTGATATTGATATAATAAGGCCTTGAATTTTGGTGGATATCGATATACGCAGGTCTGCAGTGCCGATTCTGACTGCCGGCTGGGAGCCCTTCAGCACGAGGCTGATGATGGCCGAGCTGGTGTTGGTATGTATACTACGATTGGCTGAAACATATAACATTGGCGGACGGTGCGTGCGGCAACAACTACCCGGGGCAGTCTCTTGCCAGTCTGCTTGCCGACCTGCAGTGCATCAGAGAATACCAAAAGTCGGCATCTGAAAAAGGCGGTACGCCATATTTTAAGCTTGAGTGTCTTGCGAAGGACGGACAATGGTATTGGATCGGTGAGCTGATATTCAGAGGTCTGTCCCGTCTGCTGTCGGTACGTTCTGGGGCTTCGGGCCACCGGAGTGGAAAGCGCTAGAGACTGGAGAAGGAGAAACGGGACGGGAAGTCTGGAAGCGACCGTTGGCGACGGATGGCGATGGTGTTCCGGATGCACCTTTGATTATGGGCCGCAAGACTTCTCGGAGCGGCCAAACCAAGTATCTCAGGCAAAAAGTTGGGATATCCTACAGCCCAGTCGGCATGGCAGAATGGGGAAACTCTGAAGGAGAAGTACACTCATGAGTATGAGAGATACCAGTTAGATGACACTGACTGGCCCGAGCGGACGGACGGAGAAGAGCGTCAACTTTCTGCAATCGTCGGCCATGGTCTGAACGACGAGAAGGGTTCACAAAAAAGATTTCAGTTCTCGTGCCAATGGACAAATGACACCGAAGCTTGGGAGGACGAGCACGAGGTGTAGAAGAAATACAACGCTGCTGTTCCGACGTATTGGGACAGCGATCTAATAAAGGCTCGTCGCTCCTGCAAAGTCCCGGACCGGCGCCTACAGATTTTAGGACACAGGAAATTCCGCACTAAATTTTATTATTAAGCTGCTCCTGAAAGTTCAGATAGCCTCCAAGCCATCTAGGCACCTAGGTAGTCGTCGCATCCATCTTTGCAGAACAAGCCGTTTAAATGCATCTCCCTCGGATCTGTAACTAATGAGCCGCTGAATCTAATTATAAAATCAGTCTCAAACTCTGGTATGTTTTTAAATCACCATGGTTCATTGTTGATAGTCTGCATGAGACACGGCCCGGGACAACCCGCGGCCGATTGTGGCATGACGAAACAGCCAACGGCCCAGAAAAAATCAATGGCAAGCTTCCTCGCAGCATTCCCATTCGCTCCGGCGCCAGCAACAGCTCAAGGCATCTGCGTACTGTACTGATACGCTGCCGTAATCCACCGAGGCCGAGGCTCCTGAAGCAAGCTCGATTCCAAACATCAGGCGACTCTTGCCATCGTCGCGTAACCGTTGCCCTAGGCGGTAAGAAAACGCGCGAAAGGGCCAAGACATCTAGAGAGAGAGAAAGCCAATCTAAGAAAGCGAGAGGAAAATAAAACGCGACAAACGGCGATTTATTACCTTGCGATCCCAGCTCAGATATGCATACTGTCGCAGCTCGTCGGATGGTGATTCTCCGGCCACCAGCAGCTTCGTCATGGCGGGGTGGAGTGGCGACGACGGCGAGTGCTGCGCCGACACCTCTTATTAATAAAGTCCGCCGCCGCCACCACTCGTCGTTTGCATCGACACATTCTCCTCTCGTGAGCCATTCATCGTGTCTACATAGCAGAACCTACAGCTCCGCAACCAACATGTCTTCTGCCGCGTCCTTTTACGACTTCAAGCCGCTCGACAGTAAGCTCCCCCTCACCCCGCACAAGCTACCCCGCCACCCGCCAGCTTCCGTCCAGCCCTCGTCGCGCCACGCAGATACCGACGGATGTTGCGGCACTGGCTAGTCAAAGTTGTTCATGGTAGTACCGCTTGCATTTGCATGCCAGCAGTTCTTTCTAACATCGTTGTCCCTGCAGAGCGCGGCCAGGAGCTGCCCCTCACCAACTACCGCGGCAAGGTCGTCCTCGTCGTCAACACGGCCTCCAAGTGCGGCTTCACCGGCCAGTACGCCGGCCTCGAAAAGCTTTACCAGTCCCTCGCCGCCAAGCATCCCGACGACTTTGTCATCCTCGGCTTTCCCTGCAACCAGTTTGGCTCCCAGGAGCCCGGCAGCAACGACGACATCCAGACCTTTTGCCAGGTCAACTACGGCGTCACCTTTCCCATCTTGCAGAAAATCGACGTCAACGGCGACAAGGCCGCGCCCGTCTACGAGTGGCTCAAGAGCGAGAAGCCCGGCCTGCTCGGCCTCAAGCGCATCAAGTGGAACTTTGAAAAGTTCCTCGTCGGCCGCGACGGCAAGGTCGTCAACCGCTGGGCCAGCACCACCACCCCGGAGTCGCTCGAGAAGGAGATTGTCGCCGAGATTAACAAAAAAGCCGAGTGACTAGCCGGGGGTCCGGCGGGCGACAAGGCCAAGATGTGAAGGCCTGAGGGAGAATGACTTGTCGGAAGACGACGGCGCAGGTTGGCCTACGCCGGCCGTGTGCTTGTGACGCGTTTACGTACCATGTGCTATTATACCAACACCGCATTTTCTCGTAGAGAACTTGTCAGTCCACTTATATTTATACCAAATAGTATGTTTTGCAATGGGTTACAACAGTTCTGTCATGCTCCATGCTGAAAGGAATGGCTCGTGAAGCTGCACATGACGCAACACTAGCCAGCTCAGCGGTTTTCTGGTTGCCAAGTATGAACAACACTGATCAACAGGGCAGTTCCCGTAGCATCGTTCAACGTATCTATGCCTCAAGATGCAATCTTCGACCCCCTATTCAACAAGCTCATAAGCGCACAATACCGGCCACAACCTTGCCTATCCGACTACCCTGAACTCAGCACACCCGTCTCCTTTCTTGCTAGCATCCGCTGCATCTTGATCTCGTGGTGAGTAAGCGAGAGTCCAATTTACAAGCCAATCTCTCACGCAATATGATGGTGGCGGTTGGAATGGACAAGGGCATCAATGCGCCTGCAATTTCAGAGGCGCTCTGCTGTGCAACCATTGCACGAATGAGGCCAGCAAGTACGGATAGACGGATGAGAGCCTGCCTGCTGGGAATTTGTTCACCGGCTGCACTGGAACATGGCCTCTCTTGTAGAGTTTTGTAGCACCGTCAGAATGCATCAACACAGACGAAAGCCCAAGGTCGGTGAGGCGGCTGGTAGGGCTGCCATCTGAAACCCCTGAATCTGCGACACATCCCAACCTACTCGTTTTGAAACAGTGAGGCGGACTGGCCGGGAACGAACAGATTGATAAATGCAAAATCACAAGCCAAGGGATCCTCAGCAGCGACCAGGCTCCTTGCAGGCTCCCCTGTCGGTGTAATATTCGGATGGCCCTGGTGATTAAGGGGAAGCAATCCCTAGTGGATGGCAGATCTATGATCCCAATCCGGCGATTTCTGTATGCTTACTGAGCCCGGCATAAATAATTTGGGCCGTCAAGAAATACGTTAATGCAGTCCCAAGCTATACCGATATGCAAGGTTTTTATGGTGTTTAGATGCATGATCTCAAAGATCTTGGAGAGCACGGGCCATCCAGACACGGGACCTTGCACAGATTGGCAGAATTAATTTCAAGAGAACCTCCGTCCATCCTCCCACTACAAACGCGCCGTGGTGAATTTTCTTCGACATATCAAAATGAAGTAATACCGCGGATGCGCACGTGAGGTTAGAGCATGGTCTGATTTCCCAACTGGAATGCTCCCTTCAATACTTCTGCTGCCCGCACCACGGGGTATTGTTTAGAGTTCAGGCATGGGGCCCCCCCGCGACAGTCGCCCGCCCAGTATTTTGGCGTTCCGAAGAAATTGGACGCTCGCCGTCCACAATGGACTTTATCGTTAATTGTCCGAAATGAGAAAGCAGATGGACGATTCTTCCCCCAGAAGGAGAAGCGAAATAACTACGAGAAATAAGGAAAACAAGCAGCTTACGAGGCCCACTGCCCTGACGATCCAGGGGAGCAAAAGACAAGGTTCCAAGGGGGAAAAGTGGTGGGCAGTCAGCGCGGGGTCTACTTTTAAAGCCTTGGCTTCCCAATCAGCGACGTCGTGGGACCGCTCTGCCAACAATTTGACAGGGTCAAGGCGATCGCTTCCAGTCAGGCACGTTCCCGGACCCCCTTCTACTGGTACGGACGCCAACTTCGGCGGCTCAACTCCAGGCTCCAGCACTGCCGAGAGTGCTGGATAGTCTCCTTCGTTATTCTAATCTAATTGGCTAGGCATTTGGGGCTCCTGCAATTTCAAGTCTGCGTCGACAGGGGCCGTTTCTTGGAACCGCCGTGGGTGACGTCGTTTTGCTGGCCATCCTGGTATTGGAAGGGTTGACCGACTATTGTTCCAGGGCGATGAAAGACAGGTTCCATCACGCAACAACAGAGATCCCAAACCCCGTTCCAAGGAGTCTGGTATCACAGGCGTCGTTCTGAGTACGGACAACACAATGCGCCTAGCACACGCACAGGCACGGTCCTCCTCCCCTCATTGGCCTCCTATACCAAGCCTCATTTCTCATGCACCAAACCGCCGCAGCCAAACAGGTGCCTCGGGACAGAACAACGCTTATAGCTTGGCGGTGGATAACCCCCAGCCAGATGGACGAGTCACGACGAGATGGAGAAGAGCCAGCCAGCAAGCAAAAGCTGCAAAAAGCTGCAAAATCATGTGTTACGCGCCACCCCACAATCTACCAGTACAACCTGGGTCCCGGGCCTGCAACTCTCTTTTGTTCGTCCGTCTCCTGTTATAGCTCCCGTCAGGGTGAGACAGCATCTGCACGTTTAACGGCATGCCAGCGCCGCCCGATATGACGATATCGTCGTCGCGGTCATGGCCATTCGGAAAGCATGGCAAGCGTCTAGGCAAGCGTCATTCGTTTGTTGTCTAGACCATTGAGTTAACCAACAACGAAACTATGAATTGTTTGTTTTTTAAGCTTTGCTGGGGCGCAGCAGGCCTCGGTCACACCTTTGTTCGCCCCAAAAAGCCCAAAAGTCATTCCAATAGCCTTGCCCTGTCAACACTAGTAGGTATGTATTGCCACAAAGCGGGCATCCAACCAATTCGCCTGCTGTGGTACACCCATGCTGCTCCCAATTTCCAATAAACCCTGACTCCTGCTGGGCCGCTTGGGGAACCCCGGACAGTGAGAGTTGCTCAACTTGGGCCTCGTTTGGCCCACATGGCTTGACGAAGGGCAAAGGCAAGATTCAATTCATGCCATGTTCCTGTGAGCCGTTCGTCTTGGTCGCCCGCTAAATTATATACACTCTTTACCCATTTTCTACACCGTTTCCGGATTGAGAGTTTCTTCACTTCCTTTTCTCTTCCTAAACCCTTTCTTTGTCCTTCGTTATCTCCAACTACCCACAGTCTTTTTTTCTCTTCTTTACTATTTGCTTCTTTTTCACCAATCTTTGCTTTTCTTCTGTACTTCCCTTCATTCATACCAGTCACTCTTTACGCTGGTAGCAGAGTTGATCAGTGGACAAGATCAACCATGCGTTCGACTCTCTTCTCGGTCGCGGCCGCCTTGCCGCTGGCCGCTCACGCCCTCGACCCCAACAACTTTTATGAAGGTCCTGGTGTCGTGCGATTCCCTCTGACCGGCAACAAGGATGCGCTCGAGAAGCACATGCGCCGCCAGTTCGAGGCTGGCCTCGACAACCGCAAGACCGGTTTCTTCTACACCATTGACCTTCAGATCGGCACGCCGCCCTCGACCGTCGCCGTCAACTTTGACACGGGCTCCGCCGAGCTCTGGGTGAACCCCAACTGCGCCAAGTCCAATGATGAGGCGTACTGCAAGACTTTTGGTGCCTTTGGCCAGTCGTCGTCGTTTGTCAGCCTCCAGCAGAACACCACCCTCAAGTACGGCCGCGGCTTTGCCAATATCGAGTACGGTTACGACTACGTCACCGTCGGCAGTAAGTTGCGAGGCACTGCTTCGACTGATTGGAATTGGCTGTTATTCAGCGTATACTAACACACAAATTTGCAGCCTCCAAGATCAACCAGCAAACTTTTGGTGTTGCGCACGACTCCGAGTTCGCCACTACTGGTATCATGGGCGTCGGTCCCAACCTGCGCAGCTGGGATAGCTCATACCCCTACGTCCTCGACAACCTGTTTAAGCAAAAGTTCATCAACAGCCGTGCTTTCTCTCTGGATATCCGCCAAGTGACGAGCGCGCGTGGTGCCGCCGTGTTTGGTGGCATCGACACCAAGAAGTTCAAGGGTCCCCTTGTCAAGAAGGACATCATCCCCGCCAGCTCCTCGCCCGACGGCAAGGTGCGCTACTGGGCCAACTGTGATGGCATCGTCATCAACCGCGAGGACGGCACGAAGGTCACCGTCCTGTCCCAGCCCCAGGCGTTCCTGTTCGACTCGGGCTACACCATCAGCGCGCTGCCCACCACGCTCTTCACACAGCTCCTCACGGCCTTCCCCTCGGCCGTCAAGGAGCCGACCGGCCAGTACACCGTCGACTGCGGCGTCGTCGCCCTCAAGGGCACGCTCGACTTCAAGTTTGGCAACGCCACCGTCAGCGTCCCGTACAGCGACTTTATCTGGCAGCAGCCCGACTACAACAGCTGCGTCCTCGGCGCCATCGAGGACAACGCCATGCCCGTCCTGGGCGACACGTTCCTCCGCGCCGCCTATGTCGTCTACGACTGGGACAACCGCGCTCTCCACTTTGCCGCCGCCGCCGACTGCGGTTCCAACCTGGTCGCCATTGGCTCCGGTCCTGGTGCTGTTGGTGTCACCGAGGGTGAGTGCGACAAGCCTACGACCACCTCGTCCACCTCGAGCGTCCCTACGTCGACCACAGCCTCGACCACCAGCGTCTCTACTTCGACTACGGCCTCCACCACAACCAGTGTTCCTACTTCGACCACCGCTTCTACCACCACATCGTCCACTTCTACCACCAGTGTCCCTACTTCGACCACGGCTTCCACAACCGCCTCGTCCACTTCTAGCACCACTGTTCCTACTTCGACCACGACTTCCACCGCTACTGACTCGACTTCGACCACCACCTCCACCTCGACCACCAGTGTTCCTACCTCGACCACGACTTCGAGCACCACCGACTCTACTTCGACTACGACCTCTGCTACCACCAGTGTCCCTACTTCGACCACGGTTTCTACCACCACCAACTCTACTTCGACTACGTCCACGTCTAGCATTCCTACGTCGACGTCGACCTCGGTCACCAGCGTTCCTACTTCGTCGTCGACCTCTAGCGTGACTACCGGGTCGTCTACCACCAGTGCCTCTACCACGCTCACTAGCTCGACCGTTTCCTCCACTGTATCGTCCACCTCCAGTGTTGGTTCCTCCAGTGTTGCTACCTCCAGCGCTAGTTCCTCCGTCGTTGGTTCTTCTAGTGCCGCTACCTCCAGTGTTGCTACATCCAGTGTTGCTACCTCCAGTGTTGGTTCCTCCAGTGTCACTACCTCTAGTGTTGGTACCTCGAGTGTTGGTACCTCGAGTGTTGCTACCTCCAGCGTTGCTACCTCCAGTGTTGGCGCATCTAGTGGTGCTCCCGTCACTACCTCGACAGGCTTCCCTACGCTCACTCTCACCAGCAGCATTAGCCCGATCAGCTCCGGCACCGGCGTTTCTTCCAACCGTCCTACCACCACTGGTCCGCAATCCAACGGTTCCTTGAACGGCACGACGTACACGTCCATTGTCAAGTCGACCCGCACGCACACCATCACCTCGTGCGCGCCCACGGTGACCAACTGCCCCGTCGGCAAGGTTACCACCGAGGTCATCACTTCGTACACCACCTGGTGCCCCGAGGACAACAAGACCAAGTCTGCCGGCACCAGCTCCGCCGCCAGTGGGAGCACCGTCGCCAGCACCAGCACCGCCAGCACCAGCACCGCCAGCACCAGCGCCTACACCAAGCCCCCTTGCCCCGAGGTCACCCTCACCTTTGCCATCCCCGAGACGTACTACTGCACCAAGGGCCAGGCCGGCTGCACCGTTGGCGAGGCGATTGTCACGTCGCACCCCGTCACCGTGGTCCCCATCACGCCGCTGGCCACACCCACGCCTATTCCTGGCTGCGTCGACTGCCACCCCAAGCAGCCCTCGAAGCCTGCCGAGACACCTGCTGCCGTTCCTGCTGGTGTCGTGCCCGTGGCCGTGATCCCCCAGCCCGTCGAGACCAAGGAGCAGGTTCCGGCTCAGAGCACCCCCGCGCCCGCTCCTACCAAGTCCGTCCAGCTATCGACAGTGGTCTCGGTCAAGCCCTCCAGCACCGGCTCTTCCGCCGCTACCAAGCCCGTCCAGCCCTCGACACTGGTCTCGGCCAAGCCCTCTGGCACCGGCTCTCCCGCTCCTAGCCAGTCTCCGATTGCCGCTGGCGCCGCGGGTCTCTACGTCCCCGGCCTCGCTGCGCTGATTGCCGCCCTCGTTGCTGTCATGTAAAGTGGGCTTTTTTTTGTGATATTGGCATTTGGGGACGAAAGATGTTGACAACTATGAGACTGGTTGAATTTTTAATCTTCTAATATTGCAAGGGCGGTAAAAATATAGGAAAATACATGTCCATACGCCTGTTTCTTATATAAACTCATGGGTGGAAAGTAGACTTGTTGTTGTTTTAGAGAATGAACCCAAAACTGTTTGAATGTGAAGAACCCGCAGAATGTGTAGGCCATGACTATGCTATTTTGTGCCTTGACAAGTTCTTTTCAGATCATTCTATACCTGTACATGTACCAGACAACATGCAGTGTTCCGTCGGGTGGTACATTTCCACCAACACATTGCGTGTCAACATCCGCGCCCATCTAGCCAGCCAGGCTGACTGACAATCCGGAATCATGGCTTCTCCATCCTCTTTTTTGTCTTGTCACCATGTTTAGCTCATGTCAGTTTGCTTGACGGGTGCCCAATAAAAATGAAACAAAAAAAATGTACAACACAATGCAACAAGGAGGGAACAAAGCTTGAGAGATGACGCGGTGCCATATCGGGGAAGTCGGTGATTAAAGCAAAATGTGGCATGCCAATTTTAGCATACAGACTTTCTATTCGGTCATTCTTTTGTGTTCTTTGTACGACACGGTTGTGTAGACTTTTCAGGCAAGACAGAGAGGGTACGAAGAACCGAATGTGGCTTGCCATGAGAAGGAGGTTTGGCTACAGGACCGATATGCAAGCATAGCAAAGAAAAGACACTCTAGGAATAAAACAGTGAAAGCGCGATAAACTACAGGACGCAGCGATCGAATTTTACAGGGCCCATGTTGGCGATTTTTTTTTCGTCCCATGCCAACCAAGTTCAACGCGCCCCAACGACGTTGCCTTACCCTGTACCCCTCCCTCCCCACCAACACGCGAACCCCAATCCCATCCATCACGAGAACGTTGCCTCCCCTTCCCCGCGTCAACAACGAACAAGTCAAGGAGAAAACCCCGCAACTTGAGCAAAAAAAAGGGTGGGACAAGTTCGAAGCGGGAATAAAAAAAGCTGGGTGGCCAGGTAAAGTGATGAATCACAAATTTCCCCTTTCCCGCCTTGCAACCAGGCAACCAGAGTCCAAAATTAGGCACGTCACATCTACGGGACAACGAGCGCCGCCCCCCCCCCCCCCTTTTCAACACGAAACCGGGCCAAAGAAGCGCATATTGAGTAACCCAGATAAACCCCACGTTCTGTTATTAAACTAGCAGTGTGTATGCAATCTTTTTTTAGTCATAGTTAGAGCCTAAAAAGGCCCAGTCATTCCCTACGCGGTACTGCCCCCTTCCAACCTTGGCATCGCGCGCACGTGGCGGCGAGACACGCAGGCCCGCCTGTGATTTGTCTTTTTAGCAAAACCGCCCCTTCCATCATCCATAATCCGGGGTAAGGAAAAAGATAAGCCATGCACGTTCGTAGCGCATGCACGTACAAATTGCATTGCCGTCATTCGGCATAAAAAAAATGAATGAACCTAGCTCTTAACGTTGAGCCATTAATTTCGCATTTTGCGGGATAGGAAATTGCTAACCACCACACCACCGTATCTCGAAACCCCGGCTGGCGCCCCATCCTGATAGCGAGGCTGCTTGGTGTTGGCAGCACATGTACGCCAAGCCATGCATGCGCGGGAACCTTTCCCGGTTGCATCAGGGGGGCAGTGGCAACCGTCTTGGTCTCTCTTTTTTAACCGCTGCCATCCGCAGATAAACGGGCACAACAAAGGGGGCCACCCCAAAGGGCGGAATCCTGGCATCATGGCGTCGCGGAACCTTTTCCTCGGTTGTCTAGTTTGTGACTAACATCGCCCGGGGAGAATATCGACAACAGGAAGAGGAGTGTCGAGAGGGCGGGGGAGGAGGGAATGGTTGAGTCGTCGGGCAGAAAAGGACGCACACCTGGGCCATGCCGAGATCGTTGGGCGTGAGATTTACATAACTCGGTATAATAGACTATGCAGTCGACGTGGAGATGCACCCCCATTGCTTCTTGCTTCTTGCTGAGGCTTCTAGACTGGAGGCAGATTGTGGCGAAAATCCAACACCCGTGTAGCTAGATAATCTGATGCGGCGTGATTGGTTGAGTCGCAACTTGGAGAGAAAAGACCGTAGCTGTAGAGGTGTGTAAACAGGGATTGAGACTTGCGGTTACATGGAGCGACGGAACAGGAAGCATACCTGCAATAGAATATCAACATATGAAAAAAGCACGGTTGCAAGTGTCGGCGTAGTATGCAATATCATGACAATGCTATACCACATGCCACGTTTTCTCGTCTCCCCCATTGCCTCATCTCATGCACCAGCAGACGAGCAGCGGCGAAGAGTGATAAGACAAAACCTGGGGTGCAGTGATCCGCAGTGCAGCGGGCAGCAGCCAAGTTGGGCAGAAGCCGTTGATGTTGCCGTTGATCAAGGAGGGCGGGCAGATGCGAACCTAATCCCTGCCCTGATCGCGTCGAGCGAGAAAAAAGGACCAAGAGAAAGCAATGCTTGAACTGATAGGAAGGCGCTTTTGTAGCCTTCACCGTTCCTGGCAAGACTGGTCATACGACTTTGCTCAAACGATGGGCAGCAAGGCAGCTTCTAGTCCCTGTCCACCCAGACGCTCGACAGGGAGACCGATTAGGGAAACGCCACACAAGCTGTATAACCTTAGTAAAGTATTATTTCATGCAAATGTACCATGGCTTTTGAATGAAGCCCAATTTGTGCGACAAAGTGTCGTAGAGCAACCTGGTCCACCAACCGGAGCCTTCCAACCAGATGCATGCTAGCAGAAGCTCTTGATAGCCGCTGCATGTTCAGCTTGCGGCATGAACTGCTCAGCTGACTATGCAGACAAGGAAGAGGTTCGCATTCTGGAGCTGTTCCCGGGGTCTTTCGTGCAAACACTGCATGCAGCAATAGGTGGAGAGTGAGTCAGGTGTTTGATGCGACGCAAAGGAAACATCAAAGCAGTCCGACGGACGGAATACCCGACGGGAGGGCAATGAATGACACGAATACTGTGAGAGCCGACAAAGGCCAATGCGCCGACGAGTGCAGGTTTCCTGCCGCGTTCTTCGACGACTTTCGACAAGCTACTGTTTCGCGAGACTCGAGATCGCACAGATAGATGCAGCTGCAGCTACGCAACTCGATCTGAACAAGTATTGTATCCCACCTTCCACACCACTTCTCACCCGTCAGCCTCTTCCTTGGCTTCCAAGAACCGAATTATACAATTGGCCGGCAACTACTGTTGCCTACCTTCCCGATATGGTTGATGAAATCTGCAATGCGACCACACCCGCAGTTGGCTGGAGTTAGATTGGGAGCGAAACGAACGATCGAGTGCAGTTGTGAGAAAGAGCCTAGCTGTCAACCAATCTGCAAACAGCCGTGAAGCTAGAGTTACTGTCTAAACTCCGTGCGATGTGCCGAAACTGATTCCACAATGAACCCGGAAGCGAGGTCCCACGCCTTGATTAAAGATGGGAGATATGTGGTAAAGGTTGGGAAGGCCCATTATGCCGGTCCTTTTAAACCACACACGATGAGAGCGCCTCCGAATCTGCCCACTTTTATGTCCCGATATATGCTGATATACTTATATTCGAGTCTTACTCACGGGAGCCACGGTGCTGTGCTGTGCTATCGTGTAAGTGTAGCCACGACTACGTCACGGTAGTGGTAGTCAGGCTGAGTTCCTGAGCTGCAGAACGCTCGTTGAACATGGTCGAACGTGTGGTACACCGCATTTGACCATGATACAAGCATCGCCGCCCGCCCCTGACCGGCACTTTGCTGTGAGCACTAGATTTGGTTAGCAAATTCAGAGCTCATGGCGTAGAATTAGCGATGGCTATCTTCGGCTCCTAAATACATACCAAGGCACCTGGTGGTGGCTTGGACAAGCCGCTGACACTTCCCACACCTGCTTTTCTGGAAATTCAGGCCTTCGAATAGGGCAGCCCCTGCAAGATCAAGATTGCTCCCACCAGTGGCGCTGAAGTTCGAGGTCGGAGGAATTGCCCAAAGGACGCGCCGGAGCTTTCTTAGTTGAAGCATACAAATCTTCCACACATGTATGTAGATATCACGTCCGACACCGCAGCTCAATGATGCCGTAGAATCTTGACAGGGTCTGACCGAAGCAGTCGGCCGTACAATAGCTGATAGCCACTCGTATTCACCGCGAACGTGCCGGTGAGGTTACCACCAGCCAGGGTGGCGGCGTACGCCCCAGGCGCAGCAGGGACTTTTGTGCGCCGACGCGGGGTGCTGCCCATGGGGACCCCAGAAGTCGATGCAATGCTCTGTATTCGTAATGCCCGGAGCGTGGCATGACCAATTACTTGTCATGTATATATTATTCCACATATTGTTGAAGCAAGCTTGAAAACAAAACTGTATTGCAGCCTAATAACCCCGCAATTGGCAATTCGCAAAATATGCGTCTTCAGCCCGCCTTGAAAATTAGACGATGATGCTGATATAGTGAGCTGTAGTTCCCTTTGCCGGCCGCAGCAGAGGACCAACCTCCCTCCTCTGGCCGTTTAATGGCAAACTTGTGCTGGTCAGCGTCCGGTAAGTGGCCGAAGGCAGGAAATAACAGGGCTGATTACTTAGAATCTGAGGTATTCGAACCGGAATGTAAGCGATAGAGCGTTGCTACGCCCCAGGGCCTATTACGTTTCGAAACCCAACTCCTGTAACGCGGTGAGAGATGTGACGAACTTGCGATGCCCAATTTTGCGGGGAAATGGTGCTAAACCAGGATGAGAAAAGCGGCCTGAGGTGAAGGGGCCTTTGCACCTGCAGGCGTTCCTTGGAGCTTTACCCAGTTTGCTGGCGTTTGTCAAATGGTGGCTTCGGAGGCTTGGCCTAAGAATTAGTCTAAGGCCGACGATGTTCTTTTCGGACGAGCCCTCTGACGAGAGAAACAGTAAAATAAACCCACTGATGACACACCTGAGCGGTACTGGTTGCCATTGCCCGACCTTTGCAAGATTGCTGGACAGTTTCATTTACTGAACGATCGAATTAGTCTCCTCAGTATAGCCACAGTGTATTTTAGCGAGCGCGTGGCTCGCGCTGGCTAACGAGATGATGGTTGCAACGTAGCATCCCCGGCTGGCACAGCGACCGCAATATCGAATCCGGGGCAGCGGGGGTGGGACTCAGGGCCAGCTGCTCTTGTCTTGATAGTGGCGGGTACTGCACGTTGGAGACCACCCAGGACTGAAGTGTAAGCGTCAAATAAGCCCAAACAGTATACTTGCTGTCAAAAGCCGAGGAGGTCATGTAAGAGAGCGACTAAAAGTAGGATTGTTCTTGATAAGGTCGATGGTGCCTAGCCGAGGCATTCAAACACCGCATAAGCCGCATCGTATGGCAGAAGACGTGGGTAATCTTTTGAGACTGCGGTGTACTGTGTTAGCGTATCCCCTATTTCCCTACATGGCATTGGGGATCTTACACGGTATTCGAGCGATTGGTCTGTATGTGATGCGTGAGGGTGTCCTACCCAACTTGTCGATGCTTCGATAGCTTTTTTTTCTGGGCGCAGCTAATTCTCATTACCTGATGTGGCTCACCAGCCGCAGCCGCAAGAACAGGAGCCTAATCATGAGCCACAGCCAGCCAGGGCCTGTGGCCCCGATGATCCGGCATTGTGATCGTGGTGGCTTTCGGGGGCATCCTTCATTCGTTGAGTCGTTCACACGGCAGGTGGCGCACGCTACGCTTCGCTGGGAAGAACTTTTGACAAGTGGCTTAGGTCGTGCCATGGCGTTGTGGCGCGCTATTCGAAGGCTGGTGAATGTTCTGAAGGAAAAGTGGCGCACGACGTTGAAGCGAGGACAAGGGCGTGTTCAAGACCTGAGAGATAGCAGTGCTAGTGTATTGCCGAGATAGCAGGGCATTCTTCCTCTATGAGACTGCCCTCTTATGACTTTGTTTACGTCTGCAACAGCCCGTGTCAGCAACGACTACGCTGGAATCCGGCATGTTTGCCTACAATCCACGATCGGGGAGTGCGCTCTGGCAGTTTGCGGGCAGCCTGCCACGACAGCTCTCGGTGCGCCACTCAAGCCCGCGGGCCGACTTTTGGGTGCAGCAACGCATCGATTGGCCTTACTCGAGACCTTTGCACAGACGTAGAGGGCTAGTGACTGTAGAGAAGTCAGTTTCATGAGAGATGGCTATATGCACAGGCAGTAAAGATCAGCGTGCATGTGGTGGACTAATCTGTCACCTGGCCACGGGGCGCAGCCCGGGTAGGGCAGCTCGAGGCCAGAGATGGTGTGGCTTTGTTTGGAGTGACGTGCATCGAATCAGTACTGATAGGGAGTCGACGAACGCAGGCTGTTGCGAGGGCCATTTAATTCGATAGAGACGCGGATGGATGTGACGAGGCTGGGCGATGAAAGTGCAAGTTGGTGTAGGACGGCGATGCAAACGCTCGAGTTGAGATGGGACAAGTTTGAAGCTAGAAAGGCTGACAGTTGGCAGCTGGCAGAATGGCAGACACACGTCAGGTGCAAGAGCTCACCTGCCAGCTGGCGACGAGGCGAGACATACGTCGTAAAATCGTAGGCCAGTTCCCTCCCGCTCTGAATCAAGACATTCGAAAACTACCTTTTGTCTTAAACATGATACTCATCCGAAGGATCGACACGTTGGCGGCGCTATTGTTGGGCTGGCTCATGTGGCCAGCAGGCACAGGCAGTGTCGTAGTCGGGACAGACCGGTACCACCACCCCATGGTACGTCGCACCACCACAGTCCCTATCATCTGCGAGGAAAAGAACGCTGACCATCCGTCGCAACTCTTTAGACCGAATTTAATCAAGTTCATACTCGTACTATCGGTTAACATATCCGCATCGCATTCACAAAGGCTCCGCCGGAAACGTGTTTGTGGCGGACGGCAGAGGAAATGAAAGGGGCCGCCCATTCGTAGGACGTTGATACCAATCACAATCCCCAATGTTGCTAGTATTTGCATCGAGCTTCTAGAAAGTGGCAGATCAACAGTCCGCGGTGAGACACACATGCTGGACCCTGGCAATCACCACTACAGAGGGTGTGCCAATCACCATCCATGTGCTACGCCTTGTGACAGGGAACATCCCACTCTCTGTGTTTGGATGGGGAGGTTGAAACGAAAGATCCTCTACGGCGGTTATGGAGATTAAGGACGAGCAGGAAAAGCGGCGCACTCGTACGAAGTATGTACGTCGCTACTGGGTCAAGCGTGGCGTTTTCAGTGATCGGCGCTCAACCTGGAACAGAAGGGAGAATGCCAATAATAAGCTTGCTCAACAACCATATACGGACGGATCAAGGACGGGAAAGCTCCTTGACTATGTATTATGCCGATTTATGAGAAAAAGACGATCATTTCCTCACAACGGCCCTTGGGTGACTTAAATCGAGCTCAAGCCTTGCGGCGTGAGGCGATACGACCAAGTCCGATGCTACAGTACGAATACCTGCTGTGACCCACAGAAAGCAAAGGTTGACGAGACAAGTCACTCAGCTCGTTGCATTGATGGAACAAGTTCCGACGAGACGTATCATGTTTTTAATATGCCAGATACGCCTCCATGCAGGATGTGGTGCAAAATCGGTCTGGCAGCAGCGGCGGCAATAAGGCGCAGTTGGCGACAGCCTCGGTGACGGAGCTCGCCCGGCATATGATGCTACGCTTTTCGACCAATGCGTACGGGCATACGAAGCTCTTCTTGGAGTCTTGGCCGGCGAATCGTCTCATTCAAGCATATGCTTCATGACGCCATCGGAGACGGAGAGATAGGCTATCTGACGTGGCCGGTGACATTGCCTAATGCGCAGAGGAGGACCCGAAAAAGATGGAAGATGGGATAAACAGGCACAGTGAGTTTATGCGCTCAGATATTACTCAGGTGTCGGCGGGGGGGTTTGCGACGGTGCTTGCACGCTATACATGTATGTGCAGGTACGAAGCAGAGAGTAGCTAACGTTAATGCTGCGGCTCACGGCAAGGTCCTGGGACTTGCATAGGAGCTAAACATATTGGGACTGGTCTTTGAACATGGCTATTCGTTCGGCTGCAGCGATGAGCAGCTCGATATGATCAAATCCGAAGCTGGATTTGCGTGCAGGTCACCGCAAGTCTGACAATCGCAACATACGCATATGCAAATCTGGGGAAACATGACCAGATGTCGGATGCAAGTTAGAATCTACTACTCTTCCTTGAGCATCGGCGAATTTCTTGACGACACCTTCTTCCTCCACCTTGACAGGTTTTGGGCCTGTTTGGGGGCTGACGCCAAAAAAGAGAAGAGAGCAAGAGGTCGAACAGAGCGGGCATTGAGTGAGTGCGGCAGATGTGTTTCTCGGGCTTCTTTCTTGCTCGAGTGGGTTTTGCAGTATGAGTGGGTAGTCTCGACAAAAGGACCTTGCCCCTGTCACACTACTCTACTACTCTGGACTGGACGAGCCTGGAGACTGGTCCGGACTAGTGTTGGCCGGCCCCCATGTCTGAATTGCAGGGGCTTGAGAGGGGACGACATTCTAGTGCCAGGCATGTTGTCGATGCTGTACATAGCTGTGGGATATGAGAGCACTTTTGAAGATAGTTGGGAACTTTGTGTTTCTGGAAGAAGACGTCACAGCCACGTTTCTTGCAGGGATACCGAGCCAATTGGACGAAGACAAGGACGTCGACAAGACCATAAAGGCAGAGGTCATTAGCTGTACTTGAGCAGAGGAACTGATGTATAATAGAGCAGAGGAGTGGCACATGAGGGCTGCTACGTAGGGCTAGAGTGTTAGACCCAGGCTGTGAAGGGTTGGAAACGAGACAGGACCGAGCACTTGGGGCCTGACGGGCCTGACGGGCTTGATGGGCTTGACTCCCGTACCACAATCTATCTTGACATGTTGAGGAGGCGTTCGAGTGGCTTGATGTACCTAGCTACCTCCGTATTGCCCTTCCCAGCTGTCTTGCAGGTATTATGGGGATTTGTACGGAGTCGCGAGTGGAAACATGATGGAAAACTCTGGCTTGATCTTGTATTGCGTGCGATATCACGGGCATTGCTCAGATTCCGGAGAAGGTCGTTTCTCGTGTTCCGAGTAAGCGGACTACCAATTGTACTATCACCCGCCTATGGAGCTTTATATCCAGAATTCGTGTATTTGACATACTATGATGGAGCCGGAGGAGTGAGGAGTTCATCTAAATGGCGCGTTCTAAAAGCAGCCACATGGAAGTGTAGAGTACAACGAAGCGGTTGCTGCTGTACGGTCACTGACTCAGTAAAAGGGCAGCAATAGGGTTAAAACAGATGATATCCAGATGGACCGGCAGATGATATCCGGCAAGACGGACGATTCGTGCAAGATATGGATGGGGTCTCTAATCTCAGAGAAGGACTATGGTGGCTGAATATGCGTGTGAATTGCAATGCAGAAAAAGGCAAGGCACATTCGTGGAGGAGAACGAGGCTATGGATACATTTTGCTTTTTCTTGTTACAAGAAGCAAGGATAGCAAGACCTCCACATGGACTGACTGCCTCCGCTTCCATGTTTGGGGGCTTTGTGGACGAGGAGATGCTCACGACTTGTTTGGCCCTATAACCGCCCAAGTCTGGGGCCAACCCACCAAGCCCAAGCCGGAAGAGACGACGTCGAAACAGGCGTCTTTTGGAAGCCGGGCTTGAAGGCTATTCTGTTTCCACCTGGTGGCTTCTGACCTTTGCCCTACGCCCCCACCAAGTTACGCTGCCACTCGGCGCGTAGTACACGGGATGTGGTGTAGTGTCGATGGACCGGAGTGCACAAACGTACGGGATGGCGTGCGTCTGCCGGAGGAGGAGGTGAGCAGCACAAGGACACTCTGATAAGATTTTGTGTGGTGGTTGCGGTCAAGACATGCGGCCGGTCACCGGGCCCGTGGTTGCACTGTTGGGATGGGATTCGAAGGATGACTGGCATCAGACGGGCGATATTACTGCACAGGGCAAACTGCGATAGTTTATGCACCCCTGGGTATGGGATAATTGAAATGGCCACGCGACTTCGGACACGATTTCGGAGAAGGAAAGGAAATGGGAAAAGAGAAGCAAAAAATAAAAATAACATAAAATAGGGAGTTTCCGAGAAACGAGCAAGTACAAATTATAGTGCTTCGATACGCGCATGTATAACATCAGTGGGCCAGTCGGGCTACTTTCCAGCGGACTTGTCTTGTCGTGCAGCAGCACGGTCAGCAGACAACTTACAGCACGCTTCAGAATGTACAGCAGTCGGTGAAGGGAAAGGCGCCGCCCAACCTGGTGGTGGGCTCTGTACCTACCTCTACCTAGTACCGGTACTAATGTAAGTCGGCGTCTTGCGTAAACACCTGCTCGGGGCGGAGAATACACAAGTTTAAAAATATATAAATGAATAACAGACAAGAATAAACTATATAACGATGTGCTTTCGTCTGGTCCCCGAGACAAAATAGAACGTCTCAGAGCTGAATCGCTCACACGTCCCGCCAATTTCACAGAGAGGGCCCTGGTCCCTTCTGTAAAGGTGAGGAAGCTCCGCGGGCTCGGCTGGATGCACCTGGCCTGGTCGCTGTAGCGCTACATCTACAGGGCGGCGGGGGGGGGGAGGGTGAGGACCTTTTGCCCAGAGTTTTGCCCCTCCGCCGATCGCTGTTGAGCGGTACGGTCAACTCGAGCCATGCTTCACCTGGCAGTTTCTCCGTGGCAATTGGTCGGTGCAGCTGGGCAAGCTACCAGTAATCAACCTGTGTCTCTGGGACGAGGACATTCGGGGCACCCCCAACCCCGCTCGACCGGTGCTTGTGAGCAGTTGTGGTTAGCGCACTTAGCGGGCCTTTTCAGCACCCCTACCCCCCTGTAGTGTGCTGAAGGAAGCCCGACGTTGGCCTTGCACCCCCTCTTTTGCCTCTTGTGCCTGGCTCGAATCTGCTGAGCCCAACTGACTGAACCGTCTCCTCCCACACCTCGTCCTCCCTTTGCACCCCCTCCCTCCCATCTCCTCTCCTCTCCACCACACACACTCACATCTCGAGCTTCACCCAACCTTCTTCTTCTTTCCACACGTGCATCCACTTCCATTATCTACGGACCCACGCCCACAATCACCAGAGCCATCGCATCTCGTGGCTTCGACCCAGACGCCCCTCCCATCATCCACAATGCCATCCACCTTCACCCCTCTCCTGGTCCGCCGCCATCACCGCGCCTCCTCTCGCACGACACCCCCTCCCTGGCCCTACGCTACGCACTTCTTGTATCCCACGGGTGCTCCAACGATGCCAACCCTCTCTCTACCCGGCCGTTCGCCGCTACTACTGGAGGACGACGGAGCCGGCACCGCAAGGCAACTCACGCCCTCATGGCATATACATATCGCCTCGCTTCCCGTTCTCGTCCTGTCCACCTGCACTCTTCTCACCCACCGTGCATTTCACAATTCGCATTCTCCTCAACTCATGTTGTCACTTCCCTGACAAGACGAACACCGACCTCTTCCCTTCGCCCTCTTACTTCGCCCTCTTCCTTCGCTTTACACGACCTTGCTCTCTGCCCCTCCTCGCACCACGCTGCCTTGCCGCCTAGGACCTTACCGGCTCTTCGACACCGTACGCTGACGAGCATCTCAACTACTTGCCTTTAATACAAGTTAATATACAATCACTGCGTATTGACCGAATATGACGGCACCTCTTTCTCATCAGACCGTTACGGTCAAAGATCCCGCTGCCATCCGCAAGCGCAGACGTCGCGCTCCCGCAGGTGGTGCCGCAGATGATTGCTTCGCCTGCTCAAAACGCAACGTAAAGTGCGACCGCCGGCGGCCGTACTGCTCACAATGCCTTGAAGTCGGCAACGAATGCTCGGGCTACAAGACCCAGCTGACCTGGGGTGTTGGCGTTGCCAGCCGTGGCAAGCTTCGTGGTCTCTCTCTGCCCATCGCCAAGGCACCTCCCGTGGCCCGTGAGCCCAAGAAGGCTCCCGTGGCCCGCGGCCGATCCAACTCGACCATGACTACACTCTCTGCTCACTGGGACGAGCATGACGAAGTTCACCACGTCAGCCATCGTGGCGCCATTGATATTCCCACCTCGCACTCTTCATACGCCAACTCTGGATACGACTATCTTGCCATGTCACATCAGGAACACGGCCACATGCACCCCCAATCTGTTCCTCACGGCAGCTGGAGCAGCGTTCAATACAGCGCCTCCCCCATGATGCCGTCACCGGATGCGCGGACCACTCCCAAGTTCTCTAAATGGCCGCTACCCATCATCACCGACGGCCTCTCCTCCTCCGTTGACTCTCTGAGCGAGGTCGATTACATGTCGCCCATGAGCCAAGGATACACCCGCGAGGATATGCCCCCCTTCGGACACAGCCCTACCGTTGGATACGATGGATATCCCATTCACCACCAGACGTCACCAATTTCTCGCAGCCCGCCTCCCACCTTGCTCATTGACACCAGCCGCGTGTCTAACTCGTGTGGTGGCCTCATCTATGGTGGTCCCTCGGACAGCAGCTCCAGCCTCCACTCGCAGCTGGACCACTTTGAATCTATGCGCCATCACAAGTCGGCAGCGGACTGCGACGGTCTCAGTGAGCATCGCAACGAGCCGTGCCCTGCTTTCCCATTCTAACTTTGAGCAGGCGTCCCTGATGTCAACAACGGCCACTGCAATGCCATGTCACCAGGCTGGCACACCAGAGTCAAGGAGGAAGACATGCACTCGCCACTCTCCGAGTTCAATCCCAACCACTGGCCTGCCATTAGGGAGCAACCTCAGCCTCGACTCGGCCTGAATGTTACTGCCAAGATGACATTTTTTATGGACTACTACAAGATGACAATGGCACCATCCATGGTTGTCATTGACACGGCTCACAACCCTTTCAAGAACCATATTCTTCAGCTCGCGAGCGGCAGCCAAAGTCTGCAGCATGCCATCTGCGCCCTGGCGGCCTGCAACCTCCGCATGAAGCGCAGGCTCAGCCTCGGCCAAGACACTCGGGAGCTTTATGAGAAGCTAATGGCCGAGAAGCGTGCTACCGAGAACGCCGGGGATGCCCCACCTCAAGATCCCTCACACGCCGAAGAGATTCAACACCGCAACCTGGCCGTGCAGCTGCTCAACCAGCAGCTGAGCGATCCAGTCAAATCGAGTGACGACTCGGTCCTCGCCACCATCTTGATTCTCTGCCACTACCGCATGGCAGAGTCGGGAATCGCCAAGTTTCACACACAATTTGCAGGTGTCAAGAAGATTCTGGCCATGCGGAGTCCACAACAATTTGGTGGGTCCACCAGCGACGTCGCATGGATGGAGACATTGTTTAGCTACTTTGACGCTATTTCGGCCACGATTAATGATCGCGAGGCGCAGCTGACCTCTGTTGATGACTGCTTTGCCGCTGGCACTATGCCCGCTGGCGCCGTCAACATGGTTGGCTGCGACCGCGAACTTTTCAGAACGATTGGCAAGCTTGGTAGGCTAAACATGCTCTCCCAACACAGGCCTGTCCAAAATATGGCTGGCTCTATGCAGGCGACAGGAGATTCTCCGCTGGCAACCCGCTCCATGAGTCACGGCTACAAGAATAGCATCAGCAGCGTGCACAGCCAGACTCAAGGGGCCGAATTGTATGTAACGCCTTCGAGTCAGCGTTTCGACGGCAACGGCTTCGGCACCTTGCTCGATGATGACGAGCTACTCACCTCGGCCATGTCAACCTCGACGGCTTTTGAAGACCGACGGGCGCTGTTCTGGGCCGAGTGGAAAGAAGCACGCCAGGCCCTGCAGCATTGGCACTTTGATGCCGGGGCCGTGGCCTCTGAGCTTCCCGGCGGCCCGAACCCCAGCCACCTGCGGGACCTGGAATCATTGTCGGAAGCTTTCCGTTATGCGGCCATGTTATACACGGAGCGACTAGCCAGTCCGAGTCTGCCATCGAGCCACACCAACTTTCAGAATCTTGTAAGCCAAGTGGTTTACTACGCAACGAGTCTCGAACCTGGCAGCTCGGCGGAAAAGTTTCTGCTCTGGCCACTGTTTATTGCAGGCTCCGAGTGCGTCAACGAACTGCAGCAGAACATTGTGCGGTCCAAGTGCAAGGACATTATGGCGCGTTCTGGTTACATGAATAACCTTGCTGCCCTGGACGTGTTGGAACGTCTGTGGTCGGGCGATTTCCGAAACGGTAGCGAGATGAACCTGTATGGGAGCCAGGCCAAGATGGGAGGAGCGCGAGGCCCATTCAACTGGTCCAAGTGCTTGGGAGGTCCTGGTGTTGGCGTGGAGTGGATTATGTTTTGAATTTACGACCTTTTCCTATCTGTCATTGTGGTCTATGTACTCGGGGCTATACGATTTCTTTTTCTGTACGGGAATTGGGTGGGAATGCAAAAGCAAAAGGTGCACTGGGAAGATTGGGATGTATTTTTATCAGACACTGGCGCAAGTTGGGAGCAGCATGAATCATGTATGGAGTATACAAGAGGTTTCTTTTCTTTATTCCGAAGGATACGTCGGCGCAAACTGGAATCCCGAGGATTGATTATAACGAAAGCTACATATAAATGAAGTTTCTTAGCTCAGTTGTCTTTTGAATGTCGTATTAACCAATGGCGTGATGGCTGGAATCCACTTGAAAGCAGCCTCGGAGTGTTGCACCACCTGGATCTGGCTGTTGTGGCAGCCTGGCAGGTACGGGACGCCGATCAAATCATGACCTGTCTTGCACAAGGATGACAGACAAGCACGGCAGTGACGGGATCGGTCGAAAGATGGGGGGCCAGACGGCGGAGCAAGCGGCGGGCTCTGCCCAGGGAGCGGCCCCCCTCCGGTGGTGGGAACCCCTACGATTGCATCTGCCGGCAGTTGGCATGCAACGGCCTCGTCTGGGTAGGTAATAAGATACGGGATTTGGGCAGTGCGGGTAAAAGCTACCCTTGATTACGGATACAATATAAGTTCTTGTCGTGTTTTTTATTTATTTATTTTTTTGCTGACACGTCAACAAGTTTTGGTTCTACAGAGCAAATACAAGCGGTCGGCCCAGAGCGGCCTTGGCCTGTTGACTAAGCCGCCAACCGACCCGAGTGTGTGTGTGTAAGTCATTATCAAGGCCCCCCCCCCCGGACCGTTGTTCGTTATCTCTCTGCTCGGACTGTATGGGTTTGGGCGAGACCCGACGGCGGGTTGTGTCATGGTCGTTTTTTTCTCTCGCCCAGGTACAGAACGCGCCAGCCTTTTTTCTAGCGGGATGCGAGAGACGAAACTCTAACAGACGTGCGAGTGGTGGTGTGCGGATGCTGGTTGGCTGCAAGTGTGTAAACTCTGTTTGGCTTTTGTGGCAAAAGCTGACAAGGAGCGGTGGGCTCAGACGAAAAAGAAGAAACAAAAGTCCCTTGGGGAAGAGAGAAATTGAGGGATAAGACGGTGAGAAGGCAATGGGCGCGCGATAAAGAAGTCGGCTTGATTATTTAGAAGAAGAGAATATAAAATATTCATAAATAAATAAAAACAGGCTTTGAAGCTGCCGAGGTTGTAGTTGTATCGGTCGTAATAGGGCTTTTGATGAGAACAAGGTTCTTGGCTAAAGTTCTGTTTAAGCTCATCACCCGCCGCCGGTGATGAGAGACGACGGCAGCGTTTTGTTAATCAGCCCTAGGAACCTGCGTATAGTAGTAGATGGTAATCTTTGGACTTGTTCATGTGGCAAGCTGATAGATTTTGTGACTTGTACGCGGGACCTTTTCCTCCCACCAACAAGCTCTGTCTGTCCTGTGGCACTGTGGCCCCTCTGTGTCCCCCAGAACCACAGCACCGGTCGGGAGGGCCTCACGATCCTGGGCTCTGCCCGCGCCAAGCTGCGCCTCTACATACAAAAGCCCGAGCCCTTTTTTGCAGTGCCTCTCAAGACAGCAAAAACGGTGTTCTCATGGGTCCTAGTTCCCGATATGGGCGATGCAACTGCTCGCGCTCCTTGGTTCGCGCCACAAACACCCCCCCACCCCTCCCCCCGCCCCGGCCGCTTCCCACGTTTTCTTTCTTTGCCCGTCATGGAGTTTTTGTTGTTGCTTTGCGTGGCACCACTTGAGAGCTCCAGCAGACGAGGGGGGGGCCAAGGTAGGGCAGTTGTAAACCGACAATGTTTACTCGGCATACATGTACATGACAAAGGTCGCGGGGACTCCATGGCCGACGACGTTGCGAAAACACGATCCCATCCCCCTCCCTCCCCCTCGACGGGCTCAGCCACGCCCATGCGCCACCCGAAATGGGTGGGCGGCGTCGATGCGATTTCCGCTCGGGGGGGGGGCAAAGATTGGAAAAGATGTGAATCGATGCGTCGGTCACTTGCTTCGCACAAGGGCTTTGACATATGTCTCGTCCCTTTTTAAGCGGCGATTGAATAAATTGCCCGAAAACAGACAACATACATAATATCCCGGCAAGGGAAACCCGGGCGTCATCGACCAGAAACCGTGACCGAGGACCAACCCGCACCCATCGAGATAGAAGGGAATCAGGCAACTATTCCACTTTTTGGTCCAACAGGCTTTCTCAAAGTTCCCAATATGAACAAGTTCCCAGTGTGCGGTGAGAGTCGCGCAAAAGCCCGGGCTTCGCACCACTCCACAAGGGCGCCTCTTCTGTCTAGCTTGAAAAACCGAGGTTCTAGTGGTATTAGAGCGAAGTGATCCGTCATCCCGCGTTATTTCGCCGATGATGAAGAAAGCCAATACCAACGAGTGAGCAAAGGGCTTCCGTTCCGTGTTATACGCTCACGCCCCCCGGAATGAACGTGTGTGCCCCTCTCCGAACCAGTGGGCCGGGTGGGAGGGGGTGAAGGGAAGGGACGGGGGAGGGAGGGGGGGTGCCAAGAGAGGGGAACAAAGAAAAACCGGGATTGGAATAGGAAAAACGCGCCGTGCGGGGAAAATTGGTTCACTGCCGTCTCGTTCAAATCGCGACGAATCAAATGACGAGTTCTGGGTTCCCGGCGCTAGCATCTTTCGTCCTCGCGTTGGTCGCAGCTGAACTACTTTGTGTATCCTTTAGATGACTACCAGTAGATGCCTGGTGCGTACTAAATAAGTCGCGTTTTTTTTTTCTTCTTCTTCTTCTTCAAACGCCGAATCATAGGGAGAGTTGTTTTGGCTAGCGCTGGCGCCAGTTCCATGGCGAGATTGGCTCGACGGCGAACAAGTGCCGCAATCTCGTTCCAAGGCCTTGATTGGCGGGGTTTTTTCTTTGGTTGGGCTTTCACTAGGATGAGATGTTGACCGAGATGGGACGGGGGAGGGGAGGGGAGGGGCGCACCACACACTCTCCAAAATAAAAGCTTGTTCCATCGGCCGAAGCCATCATGGGCTTACTAGAGTAGTAGCGCTGGAAGCGAGTTGATGGAAATTTGTGAGCAGTCACAACGCGCTGCACGAGTCGAGCAGGAACGTGCTGATGAGCCACACCAGCTGGGCTTGAGAGCCTCAACAAGAAACGGCATTGCGTCATGTTCCTGTCCAAAGGTCCTTGCATGAACGCATTGTCCATGACAGGCCGGAGATGAAGAATAGCTTCAGGACTGCTGCTTTATTGTTAATTTATTCCGTTTCTATTCGCAGTACTCTTCCTTCATTTACTGCGGCCTAGATTTCAATACCCGGTGTGGCATTGTCGATCCCTTGGTCAGAGCTTCAAAGGCCTTGCTGGTGTTGGCCCGTTGTGCACGTCGCAGCGCAGCGGCCCGGTAGGAAAATCGTCTCCATGATTGGCGCCGCGCGTGGTCGATCACTTTCCTTTTTTCTTTGCGTGGGCTTTTGAGTTTCTGCAGTGGTGATCCTACGACTTGAGCCCGAAAAGAAACCATCCGGAAAGGTAAATGTACCCATCCCATCTCTACATGTGGTTTCATGCGCCTGCACATCCCAACGGTTTTTTTTTACCGTCTCTTGGACGTGCGGTGGCTCCCCGCCCAAAATACGAGACGCGCACGTGTATTCACATTGCGTTGCGGGATGTCATCTGCGGTCTCTTCTCACGGGGGCCGAGGAGTGGTGCTGGTCGTGTGCGGCAATGGGGAACCCGATGTTGTAGCCATCAATCTGGTACGGGTATTACGTACAAGTGTTGGCCATGAGGGTGTGCGATGAAATAACAGCAACTGTTGTGGTAAAGACACATGGTAACGGCAAGGAGAGGTTTCTGATATGAACAACAAAAGGCTTCTGAAATGGCGCCGTAACGTCGTCGGTATTGGTCGTTTTCGCGCGCAAGTTGCATAAAAAAAGCAACCCTCGTGTCTTATCAGCTGCGTCGTGCGTTGTCGTCGTCGCATTCACCCATCTGATCTTGCATTTGGTGGCGGTGGGGGGAAGAGGATAGGCGAACTGGTCTCTACAGGTACGGATCCTGCATAGTTGCTTTGCCATCAGTCCTCGAAGCAAAGAGATTATCAACAGCGAGTCAAAATTCGATAGAGCGCCTCACATTTTGGTAGAACTGTTCAAGTGGGATGCGGAGTGGCCCTTGGGGTCAGCCCTCATCGCGCCGCTCCCGCCAGAGTTTCGCCCACCCATTACCAAGGTAGATCTCATCAACAAGTGGCTTTCAGGGCAAGGGCGGGCAGCGTGCTCCAGCTTCTTCTCCGGCGCCGCCACTGCTCGGGTTCGTATGGTCTAGCGGAGCACCAAAAGGGGCTGAAGAGAGAGAGCCTTGAACTTGTGGATTAGCCCAGGCCAAAAATCGCATAGTCCATCATTGGTCACCAGATGGCAAGATGGCTTTCGCGCAAAGAAGCCCGCAAATTCTCCAAAAGTTCCTGGAGCGGAGCTCGCCCAGCCCCGTCGACCGAACGGCTGATTATTGTTCCGGTCCCCCATGTCCACCCGCAGGTGAAAACCCAGCGCTGAGCTGCCCGCCCTTTTTCTGGTTTCCCTTTCTTCTTCAACCTACTAGAAAATACATTTCATCCTTCAAATTCACTCTGGCATTCATTACTCCATGAATGAGACTGGAGGGGAAACTGGAGGAGAGATTGACTGTCGCTGTTTTACCCTTTGTCCTGCTGTTTTCCCGTTTGGGGCAGATAAATTTTACAGTGGCACATTTTTTTTTTTTTTTTTTTGCCTCTGGCTTTGCCAATGTGAGTAACTACGAATAAGAAACAGCCAAGCGCCTGGACAAGGCCGGCGCTACTTCCTAAATCAGTATAGACACTCTATGAAGGAGGGGGGAGTATTTGTTTGGGCGATTGCGTGCTCTGGACTCTCTGTCCGGTTCCTGCACAAATGACACTGGCGGCAGTGGCTTGATAATATAAAGCCCGTTCCTCTGTCGCCAGCAACCGGCTGTAATAATTGGGCGTTGGTCAAGCTTCGGCCGGAGATGCGGTGGCCGACATGGTCACAAACGAGGAATGCGTCGTGCTCCCAAATTATCTGCATGCCCATGGCTGAGTCTGCCTGCCGCACATGTCTCAGGCAAGCTGAATCGTGAGACGGCTGCAAAGAGGCGTCGCGTCGCCTTGTTCATGCCCTACGCAGTACCAGCGGGCCTCGTTAATGCATGCTCAACCTCGCCGTGTAGGTCACGGAACTCGCCGAAGGAGGGGGGACCCTTCGGCCGAGACATGCCGCCGGGGATCACCGCCAGGTCCAAGCTGGAGATGAATGTCGGCCCATTCTGCGACAGCATAGGTGCTGCCTTCCCCCCTCCCCATGAACCAACGGAGCATTTTTGTAGATCTGGACGCGGGTGCAACGCTGTGGTCCTGAAGATCCCGGCCATGGCCCGGATCAGCTCTTGTCTCTGTGTGTGTGTGTCGGCGATGGTGACCAAGTGGTAGGAGTTGTTGCCCGAGACGCATAAAAGAAGCATATCATTGGATGTGCTGCGCAAATCATATTCCTGCCGGGCCCGGTCACAAAGACGTCATGAGATCACATCACACCACACCCGGCAGCGAGCCCCGATAACTAAAAACCCCAGAAACTAGGCAGTGCTCATTTCATCGCCCAACGAATTACATATTAGACTCGACGCAGCCACCCGGTGCACGGCCATGTCAAAGGGCCGTTGTTGTTGCTCACGCGCCATTTTCTCTTCAAAGAGGACAACGACTCCATTCGGCGGAGTCAATTGAAGAGGGGGGGCGGCATTGCACGATACGGGCAACCCAAGTCTTGACAGGCCGGGTGAGGCCATCGCACACAAACGCCACCCCGGCCAAGCAGGATCAATGCCCCTCCCCGTAAGACGACGAGACCCTCATTCCATGTAATAAGCAAGATAGCAAATGGCAAGAGCCTTGGCCAACCCCGCTTCACAGGCTCAAGCTTTGTTGCGACATTCTTTGATTCATTCTATCCGAGCACGGAGTAGTGTTGAGGCGGTTCGGCGGTCGCGGCCGGGCCATGCAGTGAGACAAGTGGCATGCATTCAACAAGTTACGCATGCTGCAACCGCCCATACCATCTATTGGTCCCTGCGCTGGCCATTCAGCCAACCTCTTGCCACTTGAATTTGCCTATGTGTGTGTGTGTGTGTGTGTTGCTCCCGGGAATAAGACTAGAATAAGAAACCTGGGGCTGGCTGCGCCAGTGAAGGGTCCCGCGAATATCGTTGCTTTGATTTGCAGCAACCGTGACTCACTGTCACTTTGTGGCCACTCCATTTTCTTCATTCTGCATCTCTTGCATGCTAATTCTTCAAAGATAAAAAAAAAAAAAGTTTCCTGGTCCTTTGCATAGTCCAACCCTTTTCGTAGCCATGATACATCTTCGTCGAAGATAACACGCCCTTGGAAATCCACTTCAAACGAAGCTCGCGCCCGCATTTTGCCCTGCCAATTGGTACCAAGGTATTTAGCATCAAAGTATCCCGATAAAAGGGACTTGGGGAAGAGGAACAAGGTTTCCTTGTCAAAAAAGTTCAGTCAATTAGGTAACGAGAATCGCAGGAGGCGCTAACTAACTAGTTGGGAACGTTTGGTTATCGCGGTTGGTGGAGTTCTTTTTGCTAGGCAGGGCGCTAACTAGGTCTGGGGGAAAAGTGTTCAAGATGAACCATGGTTGACCGTGTGTTGTGTCTGTTTGGCCGAAGCAATAAGTCTCGGTGCTGCGAAGAGAGAGCAAGAAGGTCGGTTGTCGAGAGGGAATGAGCACATGGGCGCGAGTTTACTCGTTCAACTGATTTGTTTGCCCAGCCAGCGCCGACTTCGCAGCTGCTTCTGCCCATCTTTTCTAGTTACTATATGCATGGTTCTTGCTATAGCTGTTGATGTGAGGTTGTTGCGAGGGAACCCTGGCAGTCAAGGGTATGGGACGAGACACACGCCCTCTTGCTGCAGATTCGACCGGGGAGGGGTGTGTGCATGTCGAACAAGAACCAGGGCATGAACATGTCGCCTGCATGAAATGCACCCTGGCAGGCATTCATCTTGGGATGCCCGCGGCCGCGCATGGTGATTGCTCATTGTGCATTTTCGCCAGAACATGCAGCTTCCCATCGACAATCATACCCTCCCTTGTTCCCCTGCGCTCTCGTCAACAATTGGAGTCTGTTTCTTGAGAGCAAGTGCACCCGAGACATTGGACAATGGGCTCTCTTGTATCAGCAGAGCTGTGTCTCAGTCAGACGGACGAACCGCAGCTGAACGCCGCACCCCCCGTTCCGCCAACTATTACCCCATGTATTACTGATAGTTTTTCTTCTTCATGGCTTCGTTCTAGAAGGCTACTGTAGTCGATACATTGTCTCTCTCGCGCCACGCGCACGACATTGTCTCACGCCCTCATCCGATGCAGGTTTCTCTCACTCCAAGAAAAGGAAGAAATTCGTCATCGTCACATGCCCACCCACCTCCGTCTCTCTCCCATTCTCTCTCCTGTGTGCCTCTTTCTGTCTCTCTTGCCAATTATATCCGAATGGCGCCATCGCATCGTGGTTGTCAACCATCGATCCCCCCCCCGTTCTCTTCACACCCGAGCAAGGTGTTTCCCAACATGCAACGGGTGCATGTCCCGCAAAGCACGCCCACAACCACTGCGACTGTTCCCCAGTCCGCAGACACAGCTGTCACCGCGCTGCTGCAAGATCTTGGGGAAAAAAGGGTCACCACTTCCCTCTTGACTAGCCTGCCCCTCCTCTACCACCCCTAGTCGCGCCGTATTGAGAACTACCGGACCAGGCGGGGGGGTCATGGTAGCAATAATGCCAAAGGACCTTTTGTCGAAAGCAACCTCTCCTCTCCGCCCTGACCCTGGTAATAACACAAGACAAAAACCTCCGAATATCCAATTCACGCCCGATAACGTTAATGACTTGACCCCTTCTCATATCTCTCTTTTTCAATTCATCCTTTCACGCCCCCTCGTTGTTCCGTCGCATAGCTTGAAGCAGAACACACACCTTTTTCCAGAATACGCGCCGGGGCAAACAAGAGAAACGCTTTTGCCCAATTTCAACGTATGAATCTGTCACCGTAGCTCAAACTAGTTTGTTGCAAAAGTATTCGGTAATTAGAGCAAAAAAGCCCACCCCTGATGAGAGATGTCACATCTCACTTATGTCGGGTTCTTCCCCCACCAACCGCATTTCCCAAGCCCGACAGCCCCCCCCCCCTTTTCTTCCCCGACCGCCGTCACGGCGATTCGGACACCCGTACCAAAAGATCCCCGGCAGTGAGGTGATCCATCCTGGTTCGGTCGGAGTCCGGTCATAAGGTCCTGCGCCAGTGACTCCAGACCAGCTTCGCGCCAACATCAAAAGTTCCCGTAACCTGGAACCAAGATGCCGCTTGCCTAGTAGTCTCCCGGGCGTTCCCTATCTCTGCTCTTTGTATGGGCAGCAGAACGTACTAATGGACTACTCTGTCAAGCGGGTGACAAAAAAAAAGGCCGGACAGATAACTAAGTCTAGACTCTATTAAGAGGTATACCAGCAAGGGGAAGAAAGGGAATTAGAAGACGCAGAAGCAAGATAAGAGGGATAAGAAGGGAAAGAAAATGAGAAAGAAGTTGATAAAGAATAGTAAGAAAACAGTAAGAATTAGCAATATGGTAAGTTATTCTGTCGTATCCAACAAGACCCTCCCTTTGCCTCGGTTGGTTCCCGCTCTTTAGTTTTGGCCCCCGAGCGGCCAACCTTTGGTCTTTTGGTTCACGTTGGCGCCGACCGACTTGTTGCCGCCCTTTTGATCGGCAACTTGCCCAGCAGAAGTCGCGAGTCAGTCGCAAGCTGGGCCGCCGCAGGCGCAGCCTTATTATCGGCCTTTTCGATGGCTTCGGCTCTTTGACACGCCCCCTTTTTCTGGTTCTCTCTCTCTCGAAGAAAACACAACATTCGCCGGAATAGGCAATCAAAGCCACAGCGCGCCGTGCTTCCCCCTGTTTCATCCGCCTTGGCCCTACATACAGGTACCACGCCCCCTTCCTTGGCTTTGCCTACCCATATAGCATGAATCCTATACGCAAAGCTCTTGTCTCTTTCCCGCCTGCGGCACCGCCTCGTCCAAGCCGTGCCAAAACTAACAAGCAGTATTTCGAGAAAGTAGCGTGTTTCTGTTTGAGACATGGCCCGTGAATTATACACCAGATGATGCCATGCCCTGCTTGAACGCCCTTGGTCCTCCGGCTTGGCATGGCCGCGGCGGTTGTGCAAACCCAGGTGACTTGGTCTCTTCGTACACTATACTTGCTCACTTGCTCCCAGTATTCTTTACTGGTATAGCTATAGCTATGCTTTTGATTCGTATTTGTAGACGGCATGTCGTAAATCCGCATTTTCGCGGAATATGCCAGTTTATTTTTTCGAGCTCACTCTGTCATAACATTGCCATCATACTTCAGACTACGGCTAACCAAAGACACATCCTGTTTACTAATAGCCGTCGGTCGTAAATGTTCCAATCAAAACGGAAACTGCAACTCTATCCCGTTTAGGTGCCCTGTTTTGCTGGCTCGTAGTCTATCCAGCGCGATGTGCCATCAACGTCGTGGCACCCCCCCTCCATCTTGCTGCCGAAAGGGGCGCGACGGTTGTTAGTTACGACGTTTGATCCCATGTAGTGTTCATTTGAGTTGAGTTTTTAAGTTCACGTAACTGGTCCCTGTATTTCACTTTCCGTTTCCGTCGTCTTGCACCGCGAGCGAATACTATGCGCGTACAAACAGTGACACATTCTTCGAGACTAATACAACCCACCCTCTAACGTACGGTACACATTGTTCATTACTCAATACTTCACTACTCATTCCTTGCTTATCAAATGTCTAACCAATGCGTCTTACAATACTTCAAAGAAAATTTGCAAGAACGCTAGAAAAAGGTCCCTACTTCGCTGGGGTTTACCCGAGGTCCGCCGTCCCTCCATCTTCTCCTCACTGCAACCCAACAACGTTGATCGGCAGTTCGTACACCCACCCGGTGTGTTTCCAATCTCTGGTCATCTCGGACGATGCTCCTTTGCCCGTCTCCAGATAACCCCCCTCACCGTAGTGTCCAGTCGTCCCCGTGTGGCCAACAAACCGTCCTTGCAGCGCGGATTTAGTTCCGGAACCTTGCTACAGCCGCAGGAAGCCGAGTTGGAGAATGCCATGGGATGCCAAGAGGCTCGATATCACCCGAAGGCTGTTGCTCTGAAAGAGTTACTCGGCCTGTGGACACCGTGTTAGCGTTCTGCGGCCAAGAGGTGCGACGGCGTAGACGGAACATACACATTGAAATCAGATGTTGTCCATATCTGGGTTACTCATAGGAGATAGAGGCATTTCCATTTCTCGAGACTTGTCTCGCATCTGCGAAGGAGATGGCGGCGGGCTCATAGACGAAGAAGGCGGCGACAAAAGCGTGTCCGGCGATATTTCTCGATGAGCCAATGGGAGATGCGGCACCATCTCTTGACCAGATAGGACCTCCCCCGGTTCAGCTCCCGCCGGCATACTATGCGGTGTCATCCCCTCGCACTCTGCCGACTGTGGCGATGAGGTGGTACCCGACGGGCTCGACGAGTGAGCCACGGTCTCGGTCGGGTTTACGGTGCTATGAGGAAGAGGTGGCCGGTTGCTCAAGTCGCTCGAGCCGGCGACACCAACGACCTTCTTGAAGGGATTATCCTCCTTGACGATGCGCAGCTCCCAGGGCTGCACCGCCAACAGTCGGTCCAAGTCACGCCTGTTATCCTCCACGTCTTTGGAGCTCCCATGCTTCATATGCCATAGTTTGTTCGCGTACTCAACTGTCCAGTCCTCGAGGTCTTCTGTTTCGGAGATTTCAAGGGCCCGCTTGTTGCTTGCGATGCAGAAAAGAAAGCCACAACGGGCATGGGTATTATAGTACAGGCACGCTCGAATGGACTGTTGTAGCTGCGGATCCTGTATGGCAGCCGTGCTCTCGTCGACGGCCGCCAGAGCCGCTTGGAGCTCATCCATGGATTTAACTGTGGCAGCGTCTTCTTTGGCCTTAGTGCAAGAAATGCAGGTGAAACGCGACTGGGTAAATAGTAGCGTCTCCTGGGGCTCGCAAAAGTCGGTGCAGTCATTGGAGCAGCCGATTTTGACGAGGCGGTTGTGGCGGCAGCCGAGGAACTGCAAGACGGCGAAGGAACATACCATTTTGCTGATTGACGTGGTGAGACTGTATTTGCGGAGTAAGGATGATATCGGCGCTGGCTGTTTAGAAATACGCTGCTAGCAGGTATGGTTCGTCTGTTGGGATCAAAGCAGCACGATGTGCGGAGTAAGGATGAGACGGGCGCTGGCTGTTTAGAAGTATGCTGCTCGCAGGTATGGTCTGTCTTTTGACATCGAAGCAGCACACTATATATACTTTACGCCATGGGATTCTATGGTGCGGGACGCCTGCGGTCCGTTCGTGACGGCCAAAAGGGCCAAAAGGTAGTTCCTGCCTTGACACGAAAGTCACTCCATATACCACTTAAGCGTCCACGTTGGCGATCATGTACCTGCGTTTTCTGCGCGACTACCAATGCATTGGCGCAAGTGAGATGGAGGAAAAGATTGCTCGCTTCTGTGGTGAAGAAGCCACGATGGAAATGTAGTAGCTGTAACGTTCAGCGTCTCTATCATTGCAGCATGAAGCTGTTGGTCTGCTAAGCAGGGCACGGGGAGATTCGGCTACTTGCGGCCGCAACTATTTTCCGAAACAATAATATACAAGCAGCCCTAATGCCGTTTCCACCGGCGCCATCACTCTAAGCTAGTCAAGATAATGGAGCTTGAAAACTTTGCATTGGACGATGAAATGCACCAAGCGACGTAGTGCCTGTTTCGTTTCTTGTTGTTCGCGTCGCTGCCCTGGCGCAGCCCCTCACGAGCAAGGTTTGCTTCGGTGTGTAGTGAGAAGAGGTCGGCCGCTTGTAGGGGTCAAGGATACGCGCGCAAAGTCTGGGCTGATGCTCCGGGATAGCGACGACTGGCCGATGCTCTTGATGTTCTCGAAGATGCTGGACGAAGGTGCGTCGCTGCCGGAACTGAGCGAGCCGCTTGGGGGCTTTTCGTTGGACACAAGCCCTTGCGTATGCACAAATGCGCTGGAGCGCACATGATAAGGATCCCGCTCGTAGTACTTGTCAAGAATTGGATGTACCATGACAGTCTGCCGGTGAATAGTTAGAGTCGAGTTGGTAGGCAGATTGACCCAGTTTTCTAGGTGCAGGTTAGTATGGGAACTTGGCCTGGGGAGTCATAAGTCATGAAGTCATAAAGGCTTGGACTTGCCTCGCTCAAAGGTCAAAGGTTCACTAGCTACCAGGACAATGTCGGCACCCTTGTCCTGGCGCTCCATCTGGTATTGTCTATCGTCGACTGCACCCGTCCTCGTTTCCCAGCGCGTTCCTGACGAGTAGTACAAACTAGCGGCTTCGTCGCGCGCGCTGCTGATGTATCTGGTGCAGATAGTGCTGTGACCATCTGTGACGGCAAAGTTGAGCAGACTGCGCGTGTCGACATCTTCGCTCTCGAGAATCTCTTTTGGTATCGAGTCGGTGAGCTCGTTGATTTTGGCAATGGTTTGCTCGACAGCTTTGCGCAGAATAGTTGGGCCGAAACCGGTGGGAGGGCAAGCACTGGGATTGTGGCCGAGGCGTTCGAGAGTATCGAGGAAGAGGGCAAACGCCCACTCGCTATCAGTCCCGCCCTGGACCCCCAAGTACCACTTGTCTGCTAGTTGGCTACCCAGCCGGCGTTTGATAAACTTCCAGCCACCGAGGCCGCCATTGTGCATCCACATTAGGCTGCCATGGGTGAAGGGGTGGCAGTTGTCCTCGTTTGTAGACCCTTCGGTCGTGGCGCGGACGTGGGCAAAGATGAGTCGCGAAGCAGTTTTGGAAGCGATTCGCTGAAGGTTTGCGCAGTTCCATGCGGGTGTCGTCGATGTGAACAGACATGGTGCGGAACCCAACTTGGGGTCTGTGTAGAAACCAATACCAAAGCCGTCGGCGTTGTTCTGGCCCCGTCGCGTGTCCTGTTGGAAGCGTCAGTCGATGGTCTGTGGTGGGGAAAATAGTCGTAGTACCAGTCGTAGTCGCGAATCAAACGACTGCTTAAGGATCGAGTGCGTTGGATCAAGGATCAGCTTGGAGAGCAGAATCTCGTCGCTTCCTTTGTATACCTGGGTACATAATGTCAGCCTAATGTCGATGTCAATGTCGCTGGCGCGAGGGCCGGCGCGGGAACGTACGAGGAAGCGACACATCGTAGATGGCGTTGCGAGAAAACGGGTATGGAGAGGAAGACGATGAGGAAAGTTCCAGCGATTTATAGGAAACAGGCTAAATCGGTAGGAAAGTCGAGCGGCAAGTTACTGCGTTGCGCAATTGTGCATGGCTCTGGAAAATGACACCATCGGCGCCACGGCAATAGGTGGTCAGGGCAGCGAGCGAGATCGGCCAGAGCAGCTAGGAGGCGAAAGGCCCTGTACAGGGTAATAATAATATGAATCAGGAGGGGGGCCAAAGGTCAAATGAGCAGCGGCAGGGTTGAAAAGGGAATTGGACGAGACAGAGTGCAGAGAGAGTGCAGAGTGCAGGAGGTCAGAAGAGCGTCAAGTGTGGCGGTGGAGTGTGGCTGCATCCAGTGGTGCAGCCTTGCGAGGCTGGAGGTGTGGCGTCGCGGCAAATCGAGCTTGGTACGAGGACGGAAATCAACAGAAGCTTCCCGGATTTATTTAGCGCCAGGTTTGCAGTTTCTTCGGTTTTATTGTTACTCAACTGTCTCTTTTTCTCTTTTTCTTTCTTTTTTCCTGTCAAAGTAGCCATCGACACGCGAGCACGCGTCGGTACAGTGGTGCCAGAACAAGGGTCCACCCAAGATGCAATGCAGCCTGCCCAAATCGAAGTCGCAACTCTGATTCCAATTCGTACCAACCCTTCTAAAGCAGTGCCCTTGTCGTAATTTCATTTCTCGCCCTTTTCAGCTCCCGCCACAGTCGCACCGCCACATCAAAGCGGCGCCAGTTGCTAAAAGGTCTCCACTTTTTAGCACCAGCTCGCCACGGACCAGGATGCCATCGAGCTTCTCCTTGCACGCGACGAGACGCGGCACCGTGTTAATGACCGACATTTGGCGTTTTCCCCACGTTACAGTCATCCCAGCCTCAATTTTATTGCCTCCACGAACCAATATCAGTCCCTCCTACTCCGTGCTTGCTTTCAACTTTCTTCTCTTCCACAGCTTCCTGTAATGGTTTCTCTCTCTCATATATCCTAACCCTCCACGCTTCCATCACGTCGCTTCTTTTATCCGTGTTGCCAACCATTGTCGCCTCGGGCAAGCATGCATTTTCATCATGGCCCTTCTGCCTACTCAACAATTCCGTCAAGTCCTCCAGCTTCCGCGTCGGCCCCCGACATGAGTTCCTCACCCACAGGCCCGTATCTCTCGCCCTCCCGGACACGGTGCGGGAAAGAGCGTCGAAACCCTTCCGTGACGCCGAGACGATTCGGACGATTCTTCACTCCCCGGTCATCCCTCCCGGGAACTACTCTGCGTCTTCCCCTCGAAGCACTCAACAGCTCCGAAACCAACCGTCGACCGCTATCTCCAGAATCCTTGGCCAATGATGTCCTGATGTCAGATCCCATATGCTCCTCACCAACCGAGAGAACAGTCCGTGGCGGTGCGAGCAAGCGACATTGCCCGGAAGGCTCCCTACAGGCTCTTAAGAGGAGACGAGGCTTTCCTATGGATGACCTGTCGCTGCCACAGCTACGATTGCCTGTAAAGACGCCAGATAGTGCCACAGACGAGAATGGTCTGGAGCGGCCCGCCAATGATGTGCTCGGTGATAGACGAAAAGCCACCCTTGTACGAAAGGACCACGACTTTGTCTCAATTCTGGTAGCTAACACCCAGCAGAATCTGTTCTTCAAGGCTAGTCGTAGTGGACTCCGCAGTACAGAAGAAAAGCCGAGACCAGCAACACCAGACATCATATCTACCGAGAATCAGGGCCATGCCGTGTGTGTTTTCATCTTGTCAGACACGGCCTGTGCTAACCGGCCATAGACTCTCGAAGGCTACAAACCACAGCCGGTCCGCAAGTTCCGTAACCGCGGATTCGAATCACAGCTCCTCAATCGAGAACATGGCTTTTCCGCCCATAATGGTCACCATCTCCTCGCCATGCCAGCCTGCGACCCTCGTGCCGAAACGGCGGCATACTACAGTCGCAGCACCGATCTGCACCAATGCACAGCATACAATGGCCCCGGCAATACGATACCCTTTTCTCTAGCCAGCTGCAACAAAGCCCCCGTCACAGCCATCGGTGATGAGCAGGGTTACGTGCGCCTCTTCAATACGACCGACGGCGGCAGCTCCGACAACTCCAAGGTGGACACGCACATTAAGGTTCACGATAATGCCATCATGGCCCTCGACTTTTCCGAGGACGACCTCCGTTTAGCTACTGCCTGCGGCGATCGCACAGGCAAGATTATGGATGTTGCCACGCAAACCGTCGCAGTCGAACTGAATGGCGGGCACTGCGACTCCCTTCGCCAAATCAGCTTTCAAAAGGGCCAAGCAAATGGCAGCACACTCGCGACCTCTGACCGAGCTGGCCGCATTCAAGTGTGGGACTTGCGCTGCTCGCCCATGCCTGTCAACTCCTTCTCTACCCTCGGTGGCCCAAATCGGCTCGTCCAGCGCGATACCCAGCTCGAGCCCATCGCTGCCAGGACGGTCAACACGATTGACAACTCGCACGAGCGCAAGGTCAACGGCTACACCAACTCGGCGTCGGTCACCACGATCCAGTGGCTGCCCACCGGCCGCGAGCACCTCCTCCTCTCCGCCTCCGAGGCCGATGCTACGATTAAGCTGTGGGACACGCGCTACATTAAGCCCCGGCGGCAGCTCGCCGAGACGCCGCTGGCCATGACGCAGGCGCCGCCCAGCCATGCGTGGCGCTCCTACGGCACAACATCAATGGCGCTGAGCGCCGACACGGCGCGCCTCTACGCCGTCTGCAAAGACAGCACCGTCTACGCGTACTCGACGGCGCACCTCATCCTCGGCCACGCGCCCGGCCTCCAAGACCACGCCGCCAAACGCAAGCCCGGCGGTGCCCAGGGACTCGGGCCCCTGTTCGGCTTGAAGCACGACATGTTTCGCATCCACTCCTTTTACGTCAAGTGCGCCATCCGCCCCGTACGGACCGCCGGCGGGCCGGAAGTCCTCGCCGTTGGTAGCTCCGACTTTTGCGCCGTGCTCTTCCCCACCGACGAGCGCTACCTCCGCGCCTCATCCGCCGCCAACTCGCACGTCCTCTCTGGCGAGCGGCCCGGAAGCTTCTCCCTCTCTTCCTCCTTTTCCGCCTCCTCCACACCTGCCGCCGCGTCCACGCCGTTTTGCGGCAGCGGCGGCGGCGCCCTGCCCGTGTACCGCACGGGCACGCCGCTCATCCGCGGCCACGGGCGCGAGGTCACCACCATGACCTGGTCCTGCGAGGGCAAGCTCGTCACCGCGTCGGACGACTGCGTCGTGCGCCAGTGGCAGCAGGACGCCCCCGCGGCGCGTCACCTCCGCACCGTCGGCGAGTTTGGCGGCGAGCGGCACATGGCAGGCTGGGCCGACGTGGCGGCCGACTGGGACGTGGATGACGAGGAGTAAACGCGCCGTGTTTTTCTTTTTTCGCTCACATACAACCTCTATTTTTTTCTCTTAATGAATAATGATGTTTGTATATACACATCTAGAGCATGGCAGTCCGCCCGCATTGGGCTTCCATTTATTGGTCCGGGACAGTGGGACTTTATTGTTTGGTTGGTCAAAGTTGAAGCATGGACGGTATCGAAAGCAGACGCCTGAAAGACGGCAAAACATTTGCATAGCTGGCGTTACGGGATAGAATTGGATTGTTAGTACGGGCATCATCAGCTTCCACTTATACTAGAAGAACCAAGTCAAAGCACGACATTTACTCAATACTCCAAAAGATTGGCGGCGTCTCGTAAAGAAAAACATTATTCATATATCTATAATGCCTGAAAACTACGAAAAGGTCAAACGCCTGGGTATGCAGATTCATATGCTCTTGCTGAAAGCAGGACTGTTCACCCCACGTCATCAAGGCGAGACAGCTCAACGCACAATCTCACGCTCGGTCGTCACCATTTCCGACTCACGCCATGGATCTTGGTCTCGAAAGCAAAACGACACCAACGGCTACAATGCCAAGGAGCGCTGCCAGTACGTATCTGGTTAGGTCCGCAGCCTTGATTTGCTCTCGGCGACCTGCCCACGCCACCTGCTCGTTCTGGTGCGGGAGTGACAGAGCCGAATTGAAGCGGACGGATCTAACAGCCGCCATAGGACACAGCTGGACCCTCGTGACAGCGGGCACTGGTGGATGCTCGGAAGCACCGCTTTCGGTGGTATGCGAGTCGGAAGAGGCGCTGGAGTGGTGATTCCGTCGTCGAATGACGGTACCTGCGCTGTCATCTTCACTCGATGATGTTCGAGGCGAGGTCCTTGCATGTCGTTCCTTGGCCACGGCCACACTGTCACGCAAACGGCCGAGAAGAGGTGCGGAGAGTGAGTAGTCTCCGTGGGTCGTCGCGGCACTTTCGCTTGTATCATCCTCGCAGAAGGCGTCCAGCTGCTGCACAATAGAGATCATGTGTTGGAAGATATTGCTCGCCTCTTCAACGATGGCCTGTGTCTCGTCCGGTTCGAGAGCTGCTTCGCAGATTCTCACTCGGCGCTTAAACTCGACCTTCAAGTCTTCGCCATCGTGTGGAGTATCAAAGTGGAAGAAGCTCAAAGGCAGAGGGTGGCATTTGTGTGAGCCATTGTGGGACGGCGAGTCGTTATGTATCTCGCGTTGAACGTCTGGCATAGGTATGCATGGCTGCATAGTGGGCTTAACAGGAGCCATCGGGGTCTGCCAGAATTCATCGCCAGTTGATTCCAGCGTCGACCTGATGAACCGCCCCCCAGCAAAGAGAGCCATGTACATGATGTACGTATACGTGACGAGAAGAAGCGGCTGCTTCTGTATAGAAATTCTCATATGGTCGACCATAGCGGAAAGGGCCGGTGCTCGGCAGGCATTGGCAAGCTGGCTGTCGAGAACATGATCGGACCATCCGGTCAACTCTCGAATGTCAGCCTTCAGGCAGTCTCCCCGTGCAAGACCTGGCAGATGCAGCGCATGGAGGACGGAGTGCACGCGAGCAGGAAGGTTGAGCTTGTGTTGAAGCAGAGCAGGAGCGGACAACGGCGAAGTCCCGACCGTGGCTGTCTTGGATGCGGGCCGCAGCGGTGTCACCAGTTCTGCATGGGGATCGAGGCCGTCCTCCGAACGAGGCGCAAGAAGGTGTTCCCAGAGGCTTTCAAAGGTCAGGTAAATCGGTGCAATGTGCAAGAGTCCGGTGACGTAGGTAGAAGGATCGGAAGCGCGAGGGGGCAGGGCCAGAGGAAGGCGGGCCAGGATGGACTTGTTAAGTCGAGCGTGGATGCCTCGCGTTTGAGCAGCGATAGCTTCGGCGAGGTGTTTTTCCTGGCCACGATGAGGCTGCGAGTCGGAAGATGTGCTCGAGGTCATGATGATGTATACTATATGGCTCGGATAAGACTGTTGAAAGAGGTGATGAAGTTCCTAGGGACTCGGCGCAGGTAGCTGTCGGATGGCCGTAGGGATATTTGAGGTGTTTAAGAGGTTGAGTTTCGAAAAGAGAGTGTCGACTGCTCACATCAAGATGAAGAGGTGTTGGGGAGCATGTATCAAGTAGCTCCTGCCATGTCGCACGCAAAGCACTTCGGTCGCGCCCTGTAAGTGAATCAGGCGGTGGCGAGCGTACCTCGTGCGGTCTGTGTCAGCTGCAATGGTAATGTGGTACAGGTTCAACCGACAGGGCGAATGAGCTCGATTTGGGGGTTAAGAGTTTTGTCGTACGACTGCGAAATCCCCTAGGCTGCAGCGCGTGGAACGGGAGCGAGGCGTCGTCACATGGACGGGTGTGTTTGACAAGCAGCCACGCCGAGCCGTGGCGGCGGGCGGCAGTGGTGAGCAAGCAGCAGAGCTCGGTCAGCTATTGGCCGTATGGGATCAAATGTTCAATATTGCTGCCTCATTTGTATTCATGCGTCAATTCGCTGCAAGCTTGGTCACACCGGCAGGAACCCAACGGTTTTATGCATGTCGAAGGACGACGGGTGGGTTGGCGCGAGGCAGCCACTTCTGCAACCGGACCGGAGAGGGGCAAAGGCAAAAGCCCAGTATTACTTTGGCCGAATTGCCATCGTTTGACTTTTTGGCGGGAATTTTAGGAATTTTAACGTTGGCACTTTTGTGACTTTCGGAGCTAGCAGCTGTCCGAGAACGAGGCAAAGTCAGGATCGAATCGAGGGTGGCGAATCGGTCCCTGTCCCACCTTATCCAGGGCGATACGGCAGCCTATAGGTGAGTTGTCGCCAAAACCCATTTTGCATTGTTGTATCGGGGTTTACGCACTAGGCATACACCGAGAGCGTGTGTAATTTTTTTCAGTATATCAATATTTCTGTTTAAGTGCTTAGAGCCAGCCAGCCAGCCAGCCAGCCAGCCAGCAAGTAAGTAAGCCAGCCAGCCAGCCAGCGAGGAAGCCAGCCAGCCAGCCAGCAAGCAAGTAAGTAAGCCAGCCAGCGAGGAAGCCAGCCAGCGAGGAAGCTAGCCAGAGCCAGCCAGCGAGAGCTACTAGGTACCTA